TTTGGCCCAAATCTCATAATGTTTTTACACTGTTCAATACCACATCAGCCCACTCCAAACATGATATTGGCCCAAAAATAAAACCAAAACATGAAAACAATAACAGATATGGGCCTCCAAACAGGCCCTTAACATGGTATCTACATCAATACCACCACCGAGTACCTGCAATAAAAGAAAAATGAAAAATGTTATTTACTATATATATGGTAAATAGAGAAATCTGCTGACAGATGATTCAAGTAGATTAGGAAAAGTAATAAAAGAATTCACCAAGTAGAATACAGTGAATGATGGAAAACTGGTGAACTAGCATAATAAAAGAATTCAGTAATAGTTTTTCTACAATGCTCGTGTATAACAAATGACATAAGAGTCCTTGCTTAAAACATGCATGCAGTTTCTTTCAGTAGATAAGTTTATCTCAAACTTAGTCTGCAGAACCTAGGTTAGTAAAGTGATGCATTACACATCATTCAATTGATAAACTTCATTTAAGCAGGAGAACAATAACAAAGAAAACATATATATATATATGTGTGTGTATATCCCTTTGGTTTGCCAATAAACTAAAGGGCACTAATAAAACAGAAATATATTTGAAAGAATTGTTACTTCACCGCCAAAAAAAAGAAAAACTAGTACGACCTCCCAAACAACATAGTCAATGTCAACAAATAAAATAATTTAACCAGAATAGCTTATAGGCTATAGTATAGGCTATAGTATTTAAGATATAAAAATGAACATATTAATAGGCTATAGTATTTAAGATACAAACCAACCATGATTACACCATTACCAGATGGGTATCAATAGGCTCAGATTGATTGCGGTAAGGTTGAGTTGGGGCAAATTGTAATACCACTATATTTTAAAGGTATTATATATTGGGATTAATGATTTATATTTTTATTTAAATAATTTATTTGATTTATTTGGGATTACTTGTTTTTATTTTTATTTTTAAATGATTTGTTTTAGTTAATCGAGTGTTATGATTTAATTGTCTTATTTTTATTAATTTTATATTTCGTGATTATATATAATGATTATTTGTTTGTGTGCTTAATTATTGATTGAATTGTTGACGTGTTGATTTTATTGGTATGGTGTGACTTGGTTGTAATTTCTTATTTGTTTATATGCGTTATGTAATTAGTTATTTAATTTAAGTGTTTAAAAATTATTTAATTTATTTAAATTAATTGGATTTGGACTTAAGGGAAGTTGGACCAAAGGATGTAGTCTTGGGCTTGAAGGAAACCTTGTTGGGTTAATTAATAAAGGCCCATGGACAAGAAGATATTTAAATAATTATCTTTGTATAATTGTATATATATAATTATATGTATATAAAAATAATTAATTAATAATTATTATGGAGGGGTATATATGTCAATATGTATATATATTGATATATATAGGTATATATAATTTATTTAACTAATGATTATATATGTAATGTAATATACATATATATCTTAGAATATATGTGTGTATATATATTATTTAAAAGATAAATATTATTTCTTTTATATGGTAATCATAATTAGAAAAGGATTATGGTATTAACGTGGTTATATATACACATAGGATTAATTTATTAAAAAGGTTTTTCACGTTAGAAAAAAAATAAGAGAGGCAGAGAGAGAAGAAGAAGAGGAGGCCAGATCGGAGAAAAAGGATGCCAGAATTGGAAAAGACGATCAAAGCTTGAAGCGTCGGTTTCGTTTCGAAACCTTCAGGCAAGTTCTTGTCTAACTCTCCTCTTAGAACTCATAAGTTTATCACCTTGAATATCAGAATTTTAGACTAAATTTATTTGTTTAAAATCATGGTTAGATCGGAATAACTAAAAGGATAAATTATTATATTTTTATTTTTGGATTATTAGATTTTAAATTGTATATATAAGTGTTATATATATTTTTAAAATCAATTTATAGGTTGATCTTTGACCTAATAGGGTTAATTATGGTTTCTAGAGTTTTTGGTATTTTCTGAAAATTTTCTAGGATTTTTCGGGACTTGTTTTATATTTTTCTGATATTATTATAATATTTGTAAAATTATTCTGGTCAATTATTGTATATAATATTTTTATTTTATACACTGGAGGTTTCTGTAGCATTCGGCGCATCATCACAAGAGTTTAATCCTGTGCGGCGCGGTGTAGGATAGATGGGTGTACGCGCCAATCAGGGCCATTAGATTAGTTATATTAAAGGAGATTGATCAGGTGTGATTCGGCACATGGAGCTTCAGTGCACCACTAATCTGGGCGCTTGATGTAGTCAAGTCAACGGAGAGCTGATACGGTGCATCTCAGTACATGGAGTTATGGTACATGTGGGTTTTTAAACCCTTGATGAGGTCTGGTCAATAGGATTAGGATCCTATGCGGCGCGGTTCACCAGAGCTTGGAGAAGCAACCAACCAAAGCAAGCCAGCACGCGCCAAGAGTACATCAAGCGCGTGAGGGCGCGTGCAGGCACATAGACGCGCCTGCCAGTGAATGATGGCGCGTGGAAGCGCGTGCAGAGAGTGTGAGAGCGTGTGGCAGCTCGTGGGGGAGTGTGGGAATGCGTGTGAGGTCCTGGAAAGCTCTTGTGGGGTTCGGTGAATTCCCAGAGTTGATATTTTAGCTGTTAGGGTTGAAAACAACCATTAGAAGAGGTATTATTGGTGTTCTGAGAGCCATAGAGTACTATTACGGTATTAGTAGCATTTAATTGGCGTATACATAATTAATTAATATTTTTGTGATGGAAGGAGAGGTGGATATATATGTGTGTGTGTGTGGAAGATATTATACATATATATATTGTATAATATAGTAGTATATGTATATATCACTTAAGATGATTAAATTATTAGTCTTATTTGGTATATATGGATAGGCTGTTATTAAATTAATTATATGCATGTGATATGCATGGAATGCCTAGGTATATGTTGTTTTGTTGATAAGTTAATTTGCCTATGTATGAATTGTGTGGTTAGTAAATTAGTTTCTAAGGTTTGGTACATGGTTGAATTGTACGCATGGATAAGTTGCTAAAGGTGTAAATATATTGCCTAAGTATAGGGACGAATAAAATATAAATAGGAAGTATGGATGAGTTGCTAAATTAAAAGTATAAATATATATACTTAAGGAGGCATGGTTGAATTACCAGGGTATAAATAAATATACCTTCAGGAGGCATGGTTGAATTGCTAATATATAAAAAATATATATATTTATAATGGCATGGTTGATTTGCCAAAGTGTAATTATATTTCTATGTGTTTGATGATTAAAATATATCATCTATGGTTATTGTGTGTATAAGTTGGATTACGATTAGACATTCTTAAATTAGAATAGTCTAGTACTTACAGGTTAGTGTATTATTTTATACATATTAATAAAATAATACTGGTGGTGACATGGATGATTTGTCAAAATCTAGATATTGGCTGTGTGATTTAAATACTTAAAATCATTATTGGTTTTGGAAATTAAATGTAATATTCTTTTAATTATATTATATTGGTTAAATTATTAAATTGCTGTCCAGGATGGTATTAAGCTTAGAGGAGTTTCTTTAAAAAGAAATTGTGGATTGGACTTGGTATGATTATTAGTTAATCATTGATAATGGTTTTGGAGTTAATGCACCTAGTTATAGTTGTTATTATTATATGTGTGTGTGTGTGTGTATATATATATATATTATGGTATGTTAAGATTAAAATCTTTATTAGGTTTGGTTTTGATCTAAGATGATCTATTTATTGGTTTTCAGAGGTCTGGTAGAGAGAACTTGTTCGTAGGGTTTAACCCGCAATTTATTTTTCAGGTTTTTAGAAGTTCAAGTCTCAAGGTTGAGGATCCGCAGCTGAAGGACTTATCCATTCATTCATCTTATTTCAATGTAGGATATTTTCTTATTGTTAGATAATGGATCTTATTTAAAGACCATTTGATTATTGGATTATGTTATCAGGGATCCTTGATTTACAGGATTTTCGAATTGTAACTTTTAGAAGAATTATTAATGAAATTTTTATTTAATAGATTTTTATTCAGCGAATTATTTATTATTTTTATTTCTTTTTGTACTCGGTGCTTGTTTAAATATTTTAATTATTTTGATATCCTTTAATTTTTTGCGCGGACTCGATCAAGCCGTGTTCCGAAATCAAGGGGTATCACACAAATTGTTGGTCCTGATTATCATGTGCTGCTGCAATTTGAGAAGAAGATTCAATTTGACAGAAGAGTAATATAAACAGCATGACCCCTTATAATGTATTCAATAAAAACATGACGATTAAAATTTTTAAACGTGTATTTTAAACCTCAACCACACACTTCAATTAATTTTTTAATCTTCACCTCCATTTACAAAATTATATGCCATTTGATGATAATAAAAGAGAACACTGATGCAAAAAAATATTTAAACTTCAACCCCAGTATCCCTGCTAACTGAAAACATTTTTATACTTCAGAGCTAAATGATACTTCACTTTCACCCTTTCCTAAAAATTCCCCAGTATCCCTGCCAACTTACATTTGTGATGGCTTTCTTTAGTTGAGTCAAGTTATGAGTAATAAAATGAATTTTTCACCCAAAGAAAAGAAGAAGAAAATAAGAGACGAGTCTTCTCCTAAAAAAATAACCAGCAATTTTCAGAGTGGTTGCCAATTGCTTTGAGTCCATCCTATTCATGGGTTGAGGAAAGGAGAACAAACCAGAACCGGATAGGAAATTCAATAATCAATACAATAAATAAGTATAAAGCTTTCCACGGATAGGTGTTATAATTAAACACTATTTAAAGTTCCAACCGTGTTCATCCAGTTGCAAATAAAAGATTCTAAACCACATGCAGAGCAGCTAGGAAGCACATACACTACACATTAAGGAGTATCTTTGTTGAACACCGACCTTTAAGGACATTTTTTAAACATGTGTCTGTCACTTCATGTACGTGTCCACAATTTAAAAATAAATTTAACTATTTTAGACACTTGGCCGACACTTCCCTAAGCACTTACCCAACACAAACACATCTATAGTAGCCGTCAACAATCTTGGAAATAATACGACAAAAAAAAATTTCAGTGCCTCAAACATTTATATATATTGACATTATGCACCTGGTTACAAGTGAATCATACCATGACATTTTCATAACAAAAACATAATTGTGACAATCACTACATCTCGTTGTGTGATGTCCCTCCAGTTGCATAGGTGTGACCACGTGAGAAGAGTTGAGAATATTTATGAAGTAACTCGCTATGTTCTGCCATAAAAATTCATAGAACAATGACACAAATATGCGGCAAGAATAGCCATTCTTCAGCAAGGACACTGTTTGTTCCACCTAAAGGGGGAGAATTAAAATTTATTTCCATGGTTGTTCCTTTAGGAATGCATCTCAATTAGAAAAAGAGGAATATTTAGGAACTACAGTGTTCTACTCCACAGATTATGCCGTCAACGCCGAATGTTTTCTACTTCACAGATAGCTGTAAGAAGATCACATGAGAAGAAGATTCAAAATAGCCTCCGTTTATACAAGGATACCTTGATTAGATAGAATTCAATAAATGAGTGTTGTTACAACCATTTAATTTCATCTCGAGAATCACCATTTACAAATCTGTTGCTGGGTTAACTTTAGACAATGGTGATAAAAAAAGAGAACAATAACAAGAAAAGAAAAGAAAAGAAAAGAAAAAAATAAAGGAATAATAATAATACTAAAGATAATAATAGCAAAATAGTGGAGGGTTAGAGAGAGGTCTTCTTTGATGCTCAATTTATTTGAGAGACTAAAGTACATGAACAACATATGGATTATGGAACCATTCGAAAAAAACATATGGATCATGGACCAAGGGATGAAATTCAAGATAGTTGGATTATATGCAATGAAATAAACAGATGTACATGTCTATGGAGATTTTGGCCTCAAAAACATTAGCAAGCCATTACAAGCTTGAGCCATGGTTCAATTAGGTAACAGTGGTTCAGCTGGTATCCATTTGCATCTAGTAATGACTTCAAATTGTGGCCAAATTGACATTAAGTTGGGTTTCGCTAAATTAGTGTGAAACATACCTTCATTGAGAATAAATGCAGAAAAATAACCCCTTGTTAAGCCCATTTTGTGGACGAAAAATCCCTCAATACAGAATACCAAACCCCTATTAAGCCCATTTTGGGTTAGCTTTATTTCGTGGAGGAAAATGTTCGTGAATTATGTAATAGTAAAATAATAAAATGTCTTGACTGTCTACATATACATAAAATACAGAAATAGCTAATCTTAAACATAAGCTTTAGAGTTCAGACCACTTACCGATCTATGATGTGGATGAGAAAAATTATCAGAAATCAATCAATGGAGTGGTGGATTTTGTCCTTCAAAAATGTAAATGCAAAGAGAAAAGAAGGTTTGTTAAAACCGAATAGCATTTTCGGTGAATCCACATTTCTGATTCTCTTTTTGTTCTGTCGCTTTGGAGTGAGAATTAGCTTAAATTTACAGCAAAATTTCAAAACACGGAGAGAGAGAAGAGAGTCAGATGATGAAGGACTATAATGAAATAACTAAATTAGAGAGTCAAATCAAAACTGCAAATTTTATCTCAATCACTGTTCACTAATATACCAAGAATGAAAATGAATATAGAGATTGTACCTTCAAAAATACGATCTGTTCAATCCATCCCCATTTACAGTCATCTCCATTTGATGATCAGCAGACCTTTAGCATATTATAATTTGAACATGATTTTTCATTTTCAGTTGTCAGAGTGGTTGCCAATTGCTTTGAGTCCGTCCTGTTCATGGGATGAGGAAATGAGAACAAACCAGAACCGCATGGGAAATTCAGCAATGAAGACAATAAATAAGTATAAAGCTTTCCACTGATAGGTGTTATAATTAAACACTATTTGAAGTTCCAGCTGTTTGTACCACATCTCGTTGTATGATGTCCCGCCAGTTGCATAGGGGCGAGAAGAGTTAAGAATATCCATGAAGTACCTCGCTAAGTTCTGCCATAAAAAATCATAAAACAATGATACAAATAAACGACAAGAATGGCCATTCTTCAGCAAGAAAACCGTTCTACCTAAAGGAGCATAATTAAAATTTATTCCCATGGTTATTCCCTCTGGAATGCATGTCAATTAGAAACACAGGAATATTTAGGAACTACCGTGTTATACTCCACAGATTATGCCATCAAAGTAGAAAGTTTTCTACTCCACAGATAGCTGTAAGAAGATCACATGAGAAGAAGAACCAAAAGAGAACAATAACAACAACAACAGCAACAACAAAAAGGAAAAATAAAAAAGAAAATGAAAAAAGAAGAATAATAATAATACAACAGATAATGATAGCAAAATAGTGGGGGGGGTTAAAGAGAGAGATCTTCTTTGATGCTCAATCTATTTGAGAGACTGAAGTACAAGTCGAACAACATATAGACTAAGAGATGAAATTCAAGATAGTTGGATCATATGCAATGAAATAAACAGATGTACATGTCTAAGGAAAATTTTCATTAGTAAGGGCCTATATTGGGTCGGTGCATGGTTGAAGAATATATGACAGAGCTTAATGAATTCACGCAGCGAACAAGAAATTACAAACTCTAATGCTTTGGCAAGCACAATGCAATAATGATTTAGGAAAAAGTTCTATTTTAAAACAAGTTAGTGAACAATATTGTTCTTTATTTTCGCCTGGGAAATCAGCATACACCAATATCAGCATCTAAATGCTCATGGTCTCAAATAAAAGAACAAAACGATTGAGATATGTTGGACAAAACATCTCAATCTTAGAAGTAAAGGACAAAGAGGCCGACCAAAGTTTAAGTGATATGAAGTAATAAAAAAAGTCTAAAAAAATTTAAATTTAAGAGAAGACATGGTACATAATAGAAAAGAACCGAAAAATAGAATTCATGTGGCCGACCTCATCCATATGGGTTAAAAGTAAGGATGATGATGATGATGTTGGACAAATATAATACAATGGAATTTGTTAGACAAATAAAGGTTAAAAATTTAAATTTAAGAGAAGACATGGTACATAAAAGAAAAGAATGAAAAAAGAGAATTCATGTGGCCGACCTCATCCATATGGGGATGGGGCACGGGATATGATTCGAATACATGATTTGCACATGCTTCAACATTACTTTTGGAGAAGATGGAAAGAGATAAAATTGGGGATTTTAGTGATTTAGGGTTTTATTTATGCTTATTGTTATTTTGATAATGTTTGAATTTTAGGGTTATTTTGGTATTTTTATGTTTTAGGGTTTGCTTAATAATTTGCCAATTTAAAGGCTCCTTTGTTATTTGAGAACTTAGTTTTTTGAGAAATTGAATATTATCACTAAGATTGCGAACTCCCTTTGTGTCTTTTCTCGCTCTTATTCTTACTGTTCTTAATCCCTCCGTCTATCTATCCTACCTCCTTCAATCTGATTCTCATCCCTATTCGTCTGACTTCTCAACTCCTTCGTCTAGCCTTATCTTATCTTCTCTTTCTCATCCCCTTCTTTCTTTTTAGTTACTATAAGTTACTACTTGTCCTGCATCATATGGGATAAAGGCAAGGATGATGATGATGTTGGACAAATATAATACAGTGAGATTTGTTAGACAAACAAAGGTTGTCGTTACTGGTAAAATTAAGTACACCTATCACAAAGATCACGCTATTCAAACCTATCCAAATAGCCGATTATTCTAACGAGACTTTTGCAGCCGTGAACGTGATATGCATCTTGCAAAAGTCTCTGTTAGAATAATCTGCCTCATAAATCACTTTTAACTTTTTAAGTACCATTTTCCCCATCACAAACAGTTCGGTTAATGATGGGGGTCAATTAATCAGTGTGAAATGACAGTCCCGTCAACCATTGTGGCATGTTATGGAACTGTAAATTGCTTACTTTTTTTAGCTTTGCGTATGTAATATATTTCTCCACTGCTTTAATGTAAAGAAATTATATAAAAAGAAAGGTAAAGTATATGATGGCGAGCTTACCACAAAATTTTCACTATGTTCTAATTATGTATAATGTAATATTATTCACCATCTCATCAATTGTTCTTAAATATTTAAGCAATATGAAAGATAAAGAACATGTCAACAGATCTATTTATCATTTCTATGTTAATTGAATAATATAGCATTATTAACATCTCATCACTTGTTTTTAAATATTTAAGTAATATGAAAGTTAAAAGAACAGGTCAACCAGTTCAATATATCATTTCTACATTAATTGGATACTTTAACATTGTAAGTCTCTTCTATCCACTATTATTGTTCCGTGGATCATATCGCTACTGAAAACAAACGAGAGACTGCCCTACTCTAAACGTATATGTCAAATGGATGTTCAAATTCTAGATAATATGGTAGACATTCGTAGAGATTGTTCTCATTTCAGTGTAACTACAAATTAACTTGTGCATCTGGGACAGCAAAATGAGGAAATGAAACTGTCAACAGGGCCTCAGGCCAGTTTGTCACCAAGACTTTCAACTATCAAATGAAACAAAGTAGATAGTGGTCCACAGAAACCAAATAGTCCCATTGGTGCGTCGAGATTGTAAGTTTTATAGAACAAAATAATTTGCCATATTGTACTAGATTATATCATGAAAGTATAAATATTAAAATTTGAATTTTCCGTCAATTTTTTTATTTTATTTTTCATTTACTAATGCAAGCTATACTTACACTTGTTCCTTTAAATTTAAACAGAAGCAGGAAATGTAGGGTAAACAGAAGCAGGAAATATAGGGTAATCTTTCATGAACTTTAAGATAACTAATCTCTATTGGAGTTTGTTGGAAGCACCCACCTTGAAGAGGAGGAACTGGAAAAAGATGAGCAAGTGCTTCAGAGCAATCCCCACTTTGGAATGCTAAATCTTTCATGTTCATTGGCATTTCTTTGCATAGTTGTTGTGCCTCCTTCAAGCTGGCACTATTGGCAGACCTGTCAAGCATAGAACATTTTATTTTTTATAAACAGAGAAAAAGCATCTGTAAATGTAGTGACATTCACAATTTCATACATGGCCAAATTATGCAAAGGTTATGTATCGAAAAGAAGTATGTTTCCGCTTGGCTACTCTAAAAATTGGTATATGAAAACAAGTATGTGTCGAAAAGGGAAAAAAAAAATCCTACTTTTTTAAAGAATGGACAGAGAGGCAAAAGATCATCCCTTTTTTCCACACAGAACTAACATATTCAGGATGCAAATTTTGAAATATTACAATTTGAGACAATACTAACGTTATGGTTAGCAAACTAGTTTCTCATGCTCCAACAAATAAAGTGCCGTGAAGCCCTTGGTTTAGTGCACAAAGAAAGAGATGACATTCATTTTTTAATAATCGTATAACAAGAAATCCAGATAGGAAATGCTCAGAGTTGAGAATCTGAATTCCTTTACTGAGATATAAACATTGATAGAGATATAGCAAGGAAGTTTCTCTGAAACTTCTTGACATAACTCACCTCACCTCCTAGGCCCATGTGTGAGCTCAGCGGTCAGCCATCGCGCATTTGCCATTGAAGGCCAGGAAAAGAAATTCATGGCCAGAGTCCAGGCTTCATGGCATTGTCACTTAGAAGCCTTGCCAAAATGTGAATTCACCAACAAAAGGGAAAAGAGAGCATGAGTCAACAAGAATATAGGGTGATTGAAGCTAAGTACTAACATGTATCAATATTAGAATTTCCTTTGGGTTGAGACAGCATACTGTTTGAAAAGGTCTAAATTTTGTAGTAGCAAAAAACCATATGACTCAGTCAGAACCAAATCATCCATCTTATTAATTCTAGTTAAGAAAGATTAATGTACAAGTACAGTGTAGTAGAATATTCAGTAATAAGTATTGATGGAGAAGATTTAAGCAAGTACATTTGAGTATCTTCACACCAGAGCATATTAACAATTCTGTCTTTCAGATTTCTAGACAATTCAATAAATGATGGTTTTGGGTAAATAACACATGCCTGCTTTTGAGGGCACTGCAAATGCTAGGTTTTGAGTCGATTAATCAGAACTGAAATTTCTCTTTGATTTGTTCATCCAAGGTACTTAACATGCTGTAAACAGTACTTCTCTGCGGGTGAGAAGAATCTCCAGCAATAAAAACATTTTTCCTCCCTTCTACTTCGATCCAACTGCACCCAGCTGGCTTTTTCAGAGCTCTCGTCTTCATTAACCGTCTCATCTCCAGGACCCCATCCCATTTAGCGTTTGCAGCATATAGGTTTGACATGACTACATAGTTTCCAATATTATTACTTTCAATTTTAAAAAGGCGATCTGCCACATCACGTCCGATTTCCACCTCGTGGTGGGTTCTACAAGCACCCAACAATGCACCCCATATATTGGCATTAGCTTTAATGGGCATATTAGTCACAAAATAATAGGCATCCTCAATTCGACCTCCTCGAGCAAGGAGATCCACTACACAAGCATACTGCTCCATAGTTGGTTTAATCCCATGCACCTTCTCTAGTGAATCAAAAATCTTCAACCCTTCCTCCACCAGGCCAGAATGACTGCAAGCAGACAAAACTGCAGTTATTATAACATGGTCTGGTTTTATACCCAACTCAAGCAGGTGAGAGAAAACCCCAACTGCTTCTTCTCCCATTCCATGCATCGCATATCCTCCAACCATAGCCGTGAACATAACCAGATCCTTCTGCGGAGTTGACTGGAAGAGATTATATGCACATTTTATGCTCCCACATTTTGAATATGCGTCTAAAATAGCTCCCTTCAAGCGAACATCCTCAAAACAAGCCCTCACCACATATCCATGGCATTGCCTTAGCAGGTGGACTGAGGCCATTTGAGCACAAACGGGAAGGAGGCTCATAACAGTCACAGCATCAGGCTTCATTCCATGACCTTTTAACTCATGGAACAGAGTCAGAGCTGAACTAGGACAATCATTTTCAGCATAGACTCGAACCATTAGATTCCAAGTGGTGAGATCCATTTCAGACATCCTGTTAAATATCATGCGTGCATCATCATGTAAGCCACAATTTATGTATCCTGAGATCATTGAGTTGCACGTGACCACATTCCTCTTCCCTGATAAACTCTCAAAAATCTTCAATGCATAACCCACGTTACCACACTTAGCATATGCATCAATTATTGCATTCCCAAGAGTAGGTTCAATATTCCCTAGCAAAAGACCAGATTTTATTGAAAAAGCATGAGCTTCTTTAACCTTATCCACTCTAGATACAATAGCACAAAATTGGATTGTAGTTAATATGGTAATAGAGTCAGGTCTTAACCCTCCCCTAAGCATCTTATGTAACAGGTCAACAAACTGATTGTCAAATGTACTCACTGCAAAGGCATCAAGCATAGAATTCCATGTTATCAAATCTCTCTTACAAATCAATGAGAATGTTCTAAAAGCAGCCTCTATGTCACTGCATTTTGCATAAAAACTTATTAGGGCATTTCCGACTGCTGTATCATCACGCAGACCAGGATGCCGGATGATATACCCATGGATCTGCTTTCCCACCTGCCAATTATATAAATGAGCACAGACAGGAAGAATACTGATAAGAGTGACAGAGTCCAGCTTGGTCATCTCAACAGAGAGCAATTCATGAAATAACTCTAATGCCTTCAACCACTCACAATTTGAAGCATATCCGGCAATAATAGAATTCCATGAAACTAAATCCCTTAACTTCATCCTTCGGAACAATGAATGTGCTTCTTCCGTCCGTCCAATCCTCAAGTAGAAGCTCATAAGAGCATTAATGACTGAAATATCCGTTATCAATTCAGCCCGTCTCGTCACATAACAATGGATCTCTTTTCCAAAGTGGTAGGCAACATTCTCTTCTAAAAAAGCACAAACAGGCAAAATGTTTGCAATTGTGGCATAATTAGGTACTGTTGGACCTTTTAGCATTCCACGAAACAAGTAAAATGCATCATCCATCAATTTATTCTCTGCAAACCCAGCAATCATTGCATTCCATGAAACAACATCCTTGTCAGCAATTTTATGAAACACAGCATATGCATCATCACAAACATGCCCAGATTTAGCATACATGGAAACCAGAGCATTTCCTACAAGGGTATCAGATTCCAATCCAGATCTTATCACGTAAGAGTGCAAACTCTTTCCAGCATCAAGAGCTCCTGAACGTGCGCACACAGGAAGAACGATAGCAACAGTAATAGAGTTAGGCCTAGGGTCCTCACCAATATGCATTGCATAAAACAACTTCATCACCTCCAAATCAAGATTCCGGGACCCTGCAAACCCAGATAAGACAATGTTCCAAGTGACAGCATCACAGTGGCTTACTTGACCAAAAAGTTTCTGGCAATCATCAAAAGCTTTACATTTGGCATACATATTAAGCAGCGCTTTCGAAACAGACTGGCAAGAACTATGGCCCAGTTTAACAATATGACCATGAAGAGCGTTCCCCAAATTGATGTTTCTGATGGCAGCACAGGATTTAAGAATGTCTGCAAGAACTTGGTATTCAGGTTTGAAGCCTATTGAAAATTGTATCTTTTGAAGGAAAAGGGAAAAAGCTTTATTCATCATGCTTGGCATCGGAGTTCTAGTTCAAGCATATTCTCAACCATGTTTTCTTCTCATTCAGATCAGTCCTTTAAAACAACACTCTCTGTCATGGGTTTCATCAATACATTGAGAAAACTCTGTATCGCTCCGTCACTGGCAATCCAGTAAGATTGAAATGAGTGGGCTTTTTCCTTTACCTGCAACTAAAAATTATGACAGAGACCGAATACTATCAGTCATTGGTGAGAAAACATGGAGAATCAGTATCAGAAGTCACAAAAGAGTTATGTAAGATAATTTTGCAAAATGTTACTCTATACAAAAGAGCACATGCAAACGCATTAATGCGCAGGTAGAAACACACATGGAGGTAATTATCAGAAACCTCCATTGGGTCTGCAAGAACTCTGATGAAAGAGTTCAAATAACAAATCTTTTTCTTGGCCTTTATTCAAACAGGTAATGGGTTCAGCACAAAAACCATGATTGGGGAAGATAAAGACAGAAAGTAAAACAAAAATAGCGAACACAACTTATGTATATATACAGAAGATGCAAAAGTAGAGTTTAGCTATGTAGGACTGAACTCTACAGCATTATCACTTTACTCCAACAGAGACGGTTATAGAAGGGTTGGTTACCTCATAGAAGTATATAGCATATAGTTATAAGACCACCGCTTGACGGTGGAAGACAGCATTAGGCTCTGGGCCTCAGTGTGCGTGTGTGAGAGAGATAGACCATACTTGCATGGTTAATCGGATCCTGAAAATGATGAAACAAGTTTGAGCTCGACAAGTAGTAGGGATGTTCAAGACGAGCTCAAACACTCTGAAATTGACTTGAGCTGAGGTCGATTCTTTCTGATTACTCAAGTAAAAAATATATTAGACATTGTTTGGTTGCTTCCATAACTCCAAGCAACTCGTTCAACCATTTGTATGTGAAAAAGCTGTATGAAAGGAAACCAAAAAAATTATGAACTTGGGACATTTGAAAGTTGGTGTCTCAAACAGTTGGAAATGATGGAAAAATAAAATAAAATAAAATAAAATAATATTATTTTTGAAATGGGTAGAAATGTCAAAAAAAAAATAATAATAAATAAATAAATAAAAAATTACTCCCACTTATCCTTTTAATTAATTTTTGGGTGGAAGGAATATGGTAGACCGAAAAATGGGCTTCAATTTCCTTCCTTTCTTTTTATTTATTTTCTTTGATTTTCCCTTCTTAATAGACAGATTGTGTACATGTCAAAGTAACTAAGGAGTTTAACTTTAAATGATAAAAAATTTTAAAATTATTTATTGAAAATGCTAATTGGTAAAAATACAGTGGACACTATATTATCACATCAAAAACTTCCAAAAAGGCCACCTGTAACGAAACCATAAAAGAGGAGGTCCGCCTTCATCTTCCCTTTCTGCTGCTTCGCCTATTCCTCCGTTTCGTATTCGTCGGGTTGAACGGGGAACTTCTTCAAAAACTCCCGAATCCACTCCTCCACTGGGCTCTACCTTCCGTCCCTACTGCCCTATCTCATGGGAACCTTCCGCAAGGTCTGCGGCCTTTCTCTCTGGTCAGTTACTCGTACCAAATGTTTGACACATCTACGGAAATGAAAAAAAGTAAATAAAAGAGTCAGGCCTTTTGTCTTGGTTCTTGGAATCTCTTTTCTAGTTTTTGTTTTTCTTTGAGCCCAATGCGCTTGATGGTCTTTGATGTTTGGGGCTTGCGGTATGCCCATATACCGAATTACCAAAATAAGTAAGCAAACCCAATTAGCAACGCCCATAGCCCACCAAGACAATAAGGTAGTCTGATAACCCTAGACAACAGAGGCGGCTATCACATTACCCACAGGGCCACACCGTACATCTCTCTTCTTTCTTTCTTTCTTTCTTTTTATATTTTGTTTCTATACATAGACCCGTGCGGTGTAGGATAGTGTGTGCGGATTTAGGGGTGGATTTGGTAGGCTTGAGCTCACTCCAAATTTTATTTATTATTATTATTTTTTATAGTAATTTTAGTCCAGATAAAAAAAAGTATTAACAGTATTAACCCACCAAATATATATATATATATTACCCATTCCATTGACAATTTCCGAATCGGTGTGATATCAAATTGAGTGTGAGTTGGTTTAGAACAACCATTTAGTGTTCCTGTTGTATAAATCATTTCTTCCAGTGCCTTCAACCTCTGCAAATGCTCATCAATCCATCCCCTCCTCCTCTACCAATCGAACCCTTCCACCACCAGTCTCAGTCCTTCCAGGTTGTTTTGCAGCAATGCCTTACTAGTACTGTTATTGTAAATTTTTATCATAATTACTTACCCCAAAAATATATATATATATATATGATAATTTATTCATTTAATGAAAAACTACTCAAGTTACATAATGTAATTAATTTTTTTTAGATATATACATCTTTGATGTATTGATTCCTGAACCTTGATCTGAACTATAGGTTATAATACTAATGGACTATAGATACAACAATTCCAACAATTAATCACAACAATATGTTAATTTGAATTAAAAATAAAGGTCAGTGTAGCAATGGTAATTAAACTTTAAAACTTTTAAATTTAAACCATTAATTCTTCTATTGTTCATGTGTATACATCAAATGTTAATACATAAAAACGACCTACCAATTTTTTTTCGCAGTTCCTTTATATGTAGTTGTTTTGGATGATCATAGAATGGTTTAAGTGATTAATTCTGTTAGAAACTCAAACACCTAATTTGTAACACCCCCACATTTTCCACGCATAAGTTGATCAGGCTTATACACGAAAAACGAGGGATATCAAAAACAATTGGCAATATACAAGCATGGAATACAAAATGATGGAAATAAAAGAATTTAGACAGGAAAGAAACATTAAATAATACAATATCCATCCATCCTTTATTTAATACAGTACTTCATTACAACTTGGAAATCCTACGTCAGGGATCCCTAAATATAACCCTGAGAGTTCAACGTCAAAAGTAAATAAAAACTGAAACTGAAATACTACATAAAACTTCTACCCTGCACTGGATCGTAGGAGTAGATGAGTTCGGATGATGGTCCCACACTGCTAACCTCAGCCTTGAAACGGATACTGACCGTATCCTGAAATAACAACAATGGTGGGTCAACCCCACGAGCAAGTCCTCTCTACTATGACCCAAATCAGAGAATCAAATAAATTAATCATTATGAATCGGATGAGTACTATATCTGTATACATCCTATGGGAACTATCCGATGTATAACATGACCTCAACCAGAATAGACGGTGATCACTTAGACTCACACTAGGTGGTCAAGTGTCGCCTTTCCCTACCCGGGAAATCAGCTATTATACATGGTGCACGGTACTGACAACACAGACTATAACGAACTACACAGTGATAACACCTCGCAAAGTACTGATGAATATACTGAGCATATCAATTAGGCAACACATGCCAACAATATTAATAAATATACCGAGTATGTCAATTAGGCAACACATGCCAATAATATTAAACCACATACCCCGACAGCCACACATCTGTCTATCGCAACGAATGCATAAAGTATAAATGAGTCTAAACTTATTAGCCAGCTCATATGGTTCTATATGGCAACACATCCATATAATATAAATGCGACATAATTAAACAGTCCATTTATTTCCTGAAATGCACACAGCATAATAGTCATGGTTTATATATCAATTAACAGTATAAATATCCTATAAGATATCATGGATAATTTATCTGACTAAAGCCATGGCCTTATTTAATTTAACAGTAATGTTTGATACCATTAAATACGATAATAACACTATTTATATTTAACAATGTCGTTAAATAAATCACATTAGTATCCGTACTGCGAACGAGCCAATAAATGCTTAGAAAAGATTAATCGGCCATAAGAATAAGTAACGGGTGTTAAAATAATAATTTCGTGGCCCGTTAAACCCGTAATTACCAACACAGTACCTAAAAATCCAAGTTTAAGGTTCTGGAATTTACAAAACAGGCCCTAGGGGTATTCTGGTAATTTCCAGCAGCTGTAGGGACCCCACACGCGCCCTCACGCGCCTCCCAGAGCCTCCCCACGCGCAGCCCCACCTTCCCCACTCTCCCACGCGCCTCCACGCGCGTCTGGCATCAGCCACGCGCTCCCACGCGCGCGCACGCGCTGCCACGCGCGCACTAAGGGTGCCTTGCTGACGTGTCACTTCCTGGTTGGTTGGCTGCATCCGGATTCCGTACTCGCGTCACACCGGATCATCTCACCCTATCTTCCCTCCATCCAACGCCCACAGATCCGGGTGTACCGCGGTATCATGGACCGCGATGCACCGGATCAATCAGACTCCACTAATGGCCAGGATGCGCGCGTACACCCTCCTATGGTGTGCCGCGTTGCACCGGATCACTCCGGTCGTCTCCCCCACTGCCGGCGACCGGAAAACTCGCCGGAAGGTCGCCGGAAATTGCAGAAAATGCCCGAAAAAATCTAGAAAATTCTAGAAAAATCCCTAAAGTCTTATTTAATTATTTTTAGCCATTATTAAATTCATAGGACATTAAATAAATATATACCATCCTATATAATTAAAATTCCATTAATTTAATAAAATAAAATTAATAATTTATCAACCTCCTAACCTTGGCTCTATGCATAAAAATAGGCTAAACAATTAATTTATTAATTCAAAGGGGAAAAGTAGATAATAACTTGCCTTTTTGGATTTAAAATAAATCCGCCGGTCTGCGCGTAGTCGGGTAAAATTGCCTACACCGGTCCAAGCTTCTTTCTCTTTCTCTTTTCCTTTCACTCTTATAAAATAGCTCTCTAGAATTTATACTTTGCTTCTAACTCCCTTTATTTTTTTCTAAGGCAAGCTAGTTAATTTATACACAAAATATATAATATAAATATTACAAATATCTAATTTATAATAACTTCTCACCCATTTCTCATATTCCTACCTATATGGCTTTAATTCCAACCATAACCATTGATGCAATCCTATCCTAATCTCTAATTTCATCATGACTTTGGTTTAATACTATTATTATTATTATAAATATTATTATTATTATTACTAATATTATTATTAATAAACTTTTATTATTATTATTATTATATTCTTATTATTATTATTATTAAACTAATATAATTATTATTATTGTTATTACAAAATAATATATTATATCATCATAATACTTTATAACACAAATATAATACTCTAATTAACTAATATAGCTTAATTAAACATAATCAACAAATAAAAGTAATTAAAATAATACATGCACAATTAAATGAATAAATTTACTATTTTAACATACACAATTAATTTACATGCACAATTAAATGAATTTAATAAAATAATGTAGTATGCACAAATAAATAAAATTAATTAACCTAACACAAAATTAATTTAAATACATTCTTTAAAATTACGGGGTATTACATAATTCCAATGTTGAAAAAAGTTTTTTTTTTAAAATTTTTTATCCAGGCAATAATTAGTAAGTTAATAGTTAGGGGTGAGACGGGGAAGGGAATCGAACTATGAACTTAGAGGGTGGGAGCACTAAATGCCTAACTTTTTATCATTTGAACAATACTGTCACACCTGAATGTTGAAAAAAGTGATTAAACCATTCATATACACAAATTATTTGACTAACTTGTTTGGCTTAACGAAACCTATATAATGATATGTTTTCCCCTTCCATTTGACATGGTGTTGGAAAAATTGAGGTAGTAAAAAAGTAAGACTTCGAGGGGTAGCTCAAGTAAGTAAGTAACTTGGTCCTAGAGTCTCATGAAGTGTCATATTTAAGATTCGACTTTTCTTAGATGCAAATTAACAATACTTTGAAAGGGAGAGCTGGATATCAAGAATAGATATTGGGTGAGCCGGGTATACCATGTCATTAATATACCAATGAATATGCACCATTTTAATTAGTTGAGAGCAGTTTTAATATGTAGATGGGGCCAATTTGATTGAATTGTGCAAGTTCGTTGGATGGGTATGCCAATATTGACAATTTAACATACCTGACTCATTCAATATTCAAATAAGAAAAAAAGAAAAGAAAGAGTAATGGGTGATTTTTAAGTGAAACAGAGCCCAGACCATTTAAAAAAAAAAAAAAAAAAAACCACAGAGCCCTGACCCATTCTTCTTGGCCCAAAATGCTGGGTGAGAAACCTGCTTGTGCCAAAAACAAACAATTTTGAACAATTCCATGAACAGATTGCAATGGTCGTATTGCATATATATCTTGAGAGCTGGTGATACGTTTAAATTTTATGATACATAATTTTAAACAATTTTGTATATATAAACTGTATATACATTACACACAATATTTCTAGCAAATGGAACAAAGCCATATAAAAAAGACAATATTAGACCATATATAATAGATGAGAAGAAATAGTGAAACCATGGGCTGCCACGTGTAAGAATTTAAAGGAACAATGCATTTTGTTAAAGCAATTGCAAGTCAGGTTTATAGAATAAGGTTGGAATGATGATGTAGTAGACCAAGCAAAGCCTTGTTATGGTATGGACAGTTGGAGATCGATATTGGTACTAAAGACAAGTGTGGCTTCAAACTTTTGACAAACAAAAAGAGTAACCAACATGGTCGTTTTGATGACCTTGAAAATTTTCAACCTCTTTCATATCTGGACATTAATTTGAGTCTCAGCTTTTGTCAGTTACAAGGCACCCAACTATTAGCTGCATTTCTCTTCTTATTTTTCCATTTTTATGGGATGACATTTTTGTGACCCTTTATTTTACTTAACTATGATGTCCCCTGTTTTTAATTTTTTTTAGCACCCCCTGTTTTTATCAATAAGTTAAAAGTTCAATTTTTTTTTTTTTTTTTAAAGAAAATAATAATAAAAATTTCTTATATCAACTGTCTATGTTTAACTTCACAAATCATGTTTCGTTATTTTTATTCACAAATCATGTTTAACTTTCATCTAATATGCATTTATTGAGAGGATGTTTCTAGGATACAAGACGAGATGACATTGAGCTTATATTGTTACTTATCGGATTAACCTTTTAAGACTTATACCGCTTGTAAATAGAATTTTAAACGACTTGTGATGTATCATGTCATTGAATAATTTAAAATACTTAAAACAACATAATTTAGGAAAACACATCTATTGAATCTCGGTAGATGTAGTGAATTTGAAGCAAAAATTCACATGTCAATAGTTTAACAATTCAACTTATGATAATATAAACAAATTCAACTTAGAAGATCTTTATCCTTCTCCATATACCTCTACAAACTTTAGATCGCACACTTGTCAAATTTGTGAATACATGACACAAAGCTGAAGATAAAAATTAATGGACTTCAAAGATTTGAGATGAATTTTTTTTATTTTTCTATTTTTTTGGGTTGAAAAATAAGCTCCAATGTGTAGTGAATATTTTGAAGCCGGTCCGAAAGTGTTAATATTCCAGAGATGTGTGTTGAAACTTTTCCACGGAATATGAACAATAAATATTAGCCCCTCCTCACCGAATCAAATATTCCTTGTGTAGCTCATAATCTACCGCCCTTCCACTGCACAAAGTTGCTTTCAATTGTCAATTGCAACACATTCTTGTGTTAAAAGTTTAAAATATTCTATATTTGAGAGTGAGTTATAAATGAACCGTATATATTATCTAGTATTTGTTTGATATAACAAAATAATTCCATAAAAATTTTCCATTATTTTTACAGAGGATAGTTATCTGTCAAAACCTACTGATTATAATTCAAAATTTTTGTAGATAAGTTTAAATCATTTTTGTTATTTTGATTAATTTTAGATACATTTATTTATACCTTAATTTAAATTTGGCAAAATTTGAGCACAAAGTAGAATATTCTTAGAACCCTCTATTTCCAATGATTTACGTATTTGTCACACTCAACTCATTTTGTTTGAAAAAAAGTGGAAAAATCAAAATTTTCGCATTCGCGAGTCACGCAGTACACACGTAGCCACCTTTTGACCCATGGAAAGTTCGAAAACGCGGAACGGTTTATTATTATTCGCTATCGCCAGAGCATTTCCCATATTCCGAAATTACCCATTCCTCATTTATAAAGCCGTGCGTGTTAATGAAGAAATCAAAGCAAAAGACAGGTCCACTATTGTGTATATAATAAACCAATATGCGTGTCATACATCTGCACCACCACAAAATATAGAGAGAGAGAGATAGAGAAAGATGGAGAAGAAGCCGTGGTTCAGCTTCAAGAGACTGGGGAAGAAGAGTTCGTGGACATGGAGGTTCAAGAGTTCTGGGTTTCGGTGGAAGAGGCGGACTTTTCAGATTGGGTTCATCAACGACTTTCTCTTCATGATCGTGTCTGTGTTTGAAGCCATTGTTCTGGTCTCAACACTCTGTTTCTTCTACCTATGTTGCGGTTGTAACTTCTGAGCCTTTAATCCTTTAATTGGAAGAATTGGGTCCCTGTATTGGCTGATATTCTTGAGAGAAAGAATGGGTACGTTGGAGAGAGAAACAGAGGAGGAAGATTGGGCTTGAGAAGGAGGAATGGTCAAATCTTGGGTGTGATTGAATGTTCTGAAATTTAAGTCTAATGGGCCTTTTTTTTACGAAGAGCTAGCATAAAGTTTCTCTCTCATTTTAAATATATGTATATATATATATATATATATAGAATGTAACAACAATGAGACGGGTGTTGAATGTTGTGAGTTGGAGGGAGCCGATTTAGGTTAGTTTGCATTTGGGGTAGAGTTTAATTTGTGTTTGAACCCATGTTGTAAACTTGTAATCTAGTTTTATATATAGATCGAAGCTTCTATGTCAAAGTCTAAAGTTCTGTCCCTCTAGTTTGTTTTTTAAGCCTACATTTCACAATGATTCAGTCTTTATAACAAATTCTGATGCAAAAAACAGGGTATTGAAAGAAAACAGGGTATTACCAAAGGAAGAACCATGGTCGTTGAGATTTGAATCATTTTTCAAAACTTTAAAGAAAAATATAGAAAACGGGTTAAAATCAAAAGGGATAATTCTATTAGAAAAAAAAAATGGAGATTTGGAAGTAAAAAGAGAAAAGAATGGAGTCAAAATTAAAATTTTTATATTAATGAAATTTTTTCAAAACCTGACGTAGACATAAAAATTTAATATACATTATATATTTATTTTCAAAATACCCTTCTATTGTTATTATGAAATTCTATTCATATATAGAGAGAGAAACCCATGTATGGCAACCCTTTTTCCCAAACGAACAACCAACAAATATGAGAAATTTATCCAAAACTTCTGGTCATTTGTACTTTTCTAATGATTAAATGAATTTGCTATTTTTTTTTTTTTTAAATGGGTTTGTTAGTTAGGTGGGTGAAAGAAATAGATAACCAATGAAAAAGAAAGAATTATTTTTGCCATTATAGATGAACACATTCAGAAGCGGCTGTTGCTCTGGAACAATTGAGACTTACGGGCATTTGGTCACCATTAAAAGTTATTCCACTACATGTTAAAAGTTATTCCACTACATGGAGAGAGGACCTTTCATCCATAGAAAAGAAAAAAGCTTGAGGCATTCAAGTACAGGCGATGTAGAGGCAGAGATCCATAACAGTAATAGAAGGATATTTTGGAAATAAAAAAATGATATACATTAAATTTCTATGTCCACCTCAGACTTTGAGAAAATTTCATTAATTTGAAAAACTTAATTTTAACTCTATTCTTTTGTCTTTTGACCCACAAAATTTCATTTTTATGAAATTATCCCAAATCAAATTTTGTTTAATAGGCATTTTTCTGAAAAATTAGTTAAGGAGAAAGAAAAAAGAAGAAAAATAAATGACTAAATTGATAGAACAGAGTAGTTATTGTACAAATTTTGTGAATTATCACTACTAAATTTTATAAATAAGACTGCGTGAATTAGTGAATTAGTGGTATTCCTAGCATTCCACTAAAATAAGAAAGGCAGTTTTAATAACCATTTTAAGAGAAAATCTAAACCAATTAAAAAGACCCATAATGTACCAATTGCTTTTTGTGTGTGTGTGTGTGTGTAAAAAGGTAATTTCCATTCTCTTATTGATTAAGAATTTAAGATAAAGGTTTGATTTTTGATGTGCCAACTACAAATTCAATCGGGGTATGCAATTTCACTATGAGTGGTATTTCTAGCATTCCACTAAAATAATAAAGGCAGTTTTTATAATCATTTTAAGAGAAAATCTAAACCAATTAAAAAGACCCATAATGTACCAATTGCTTTTTGTGTGTGTGTGTAGAAGGGTAATTTCCATTCTCTTACTTATTGATTAAGATAAAGGTTTGCTTTTCGATGCGCCAACTACTAATTCAATCGGGGTGTGCAATTTCACTATGAGTTGATTTGTTTGAACGTAGCTATCTGTGTGACGAGTACTTTTCCGTCTTTTCATTAAGAAGCCGCGAAACCAACTACTCCAATAAAAATCTGATTTACATTTAAAAAGTAAATAAATACCGCATCAAAATGTTTTGTGGAAGCTTTGGACTTTGTGGTTGCGAGATGGGGACGTGGATCCTCTTCTTTGTCTCATTTCATTACTGTCATTCTGGTACACTAAAAATATAATACTCAATACAACAGTAATGTAATGTTTATATAACATATTAAATAAAAATTTGAACACATTTAAAATTGTTACATTCTCAATTTAAATACACGTGACAAAAAATAAATATATAAATTATACACAAAAAAGATCTTGATTTAGAATGTGTTCAGAAATAAGTCCTTAACTCCAATACAAATGATGAAGTGATTAATGCAATTGGATTGAAACTTTTTTTTGTCAAGAAATTTGATTGTCCCTTTGCTGAATTATAAATTGCAGTAGAACGGAACTTATCATCCTCCTTCTTCGAACAAACCCACACAAACCCCTTATTTTCCTTCTCCTCAACAAGCTGTATAAGCCACTTACCGCCGCCACTGCCACCACCACAACCACCTCCACCCAACCCGCAGTAAGCTGATACTCTCAAATTTGATGATTTATCCCGCCATGGCTGTGCATAGGCTTGGATGTGCTTATGGTTGGTTGAACTGTAATGGATTTATTGGGCCGGGCTGATGTTTTTTATTGGAAGGTTTCATTTGTTTGGGCCACAATTGTGGACTAGCCTTTTTATGTTTTGTTTTCTCTTGCCCCATGTTTTCCTTTAATTACCGAAAATAAAAAATAGAATGTTTTTCATATGTAGTTTTTTTTTTTTTTGGAAATTATGTTTTTCATATGTAGTTGAAAAAGAATAATATATATGCCTTTATATCAGTAAAAAGAGCAATTTTCAAATGTGATGTAATAATAGAGATGTTACACATCCTTCAGTTTTTAACAGTAGATATTTTTTTGGAGTGTGTGATTTTTTCTGCTTATGTTCTTTAACTAAAACAATAATAATAACAATAGAAATAAGTGTTTTTATATTTTAAATTTCACCATAGGCAGGAAATTTTCCAACAAATATCTTGTGAATTCTGAAATAGTTTAAAGCTGCCAACTTCTCTTATCCCTTCCCAAAACCCCTCTCTCTCTCTCTCTCTCTCTCGCTCTCTCTCTCTCTCTCTCTCACACACACACACACACACACAGATGAGCGCCTCAATCTACCTACCTATTTCACCCACTTCTCACTCTCTTTTGAAGCCCAATCACAATCTTCTTCTACTTGGCGACTCATTCCTTCCAAAACGCATTCCTTGTGGTAAAAGAAGATTTTCTGTGACTACAACAAAAGCTTTGCTCTCAACTACCAAAGAATCAGTCTTACTAGATTTTCATGAAAGAAGAGCTCTCAAGGTAATATCCAATTAGCTTTCTCTTTCCCGCCCACTTGCTGTTATCTTATTACCATCCATCTCTTGCAATTTTCTTTTAAAGATTCTGTTTGGTACCCGAGAAATATGAAAATAAATTGATGGTAATGAAATTTGAATCGAACCCATCTTCCTTAAAACCTTGCTGAATTTGAAGTTTTTTTTCTCTCATTTTTTATATTATGCGAGTCCATTGGCTTTAAAAGTAGACAACTTAGATCTTTACTCTGCTTTCTACATGTTCACTGTAATTTTACAACTTTATTTTTAGTTGAACAATGGATATGTTATTTTAAAGTTCACAAAAATCTGTCTTATGCTATGTTTGGGAGCACCAAATTGCGACCTTGGAATTGAAATTTAAGAAAATTTAGTTTAAAGGTTGAACTATGTTTGGCGGCATGGAATTAAAGTCTTGAAATTGGAGAATTTTTTGGTTCAATTTTTTGAGTTGCTTTTCTCCAATTTCAAAACTCCAATTCCATGCCTGCCAAACATACCTAAATTTCTTCCGATTCCGATTCAATTCCAATTCTAATTCCAAGACACCAATTCAGCTCTCTTTCTTTTTCCAATATTGTGGGACTGGGTCCTAAGAAATTGTTTCTCTACAGATTATTACAGGCCTGCAGAATTTTAATAAAGACAACGTTGCTTCTGTGGTAACTGCTGCAGATAAGGTTGGTTTTTATCTAAAGTCGTTGTTTTTTCCTCTGTTATTTAAGGAAATACTGGATTATAAAGCTAAGACACTGTTATTGTTGGGCCAAATGATTTATAAGATTGTGGGTTGATAAAATATGTGAAAAAAATAATGTTTTTGTTTAGGTCTGGTCACTATAATTTTACATTAATCTTTTTTTCCCTCCTCCTTAAATACCTCTTTTATACCTTTCTAATTTTAGACTCGACTGCTTAAAATTAAATAGGCCAGTTAATTCCATTAGTTGAAATTGCCCATCCCACCTTCAAGAAAAGTTTCAGTTTGTTCAACTAAATCAAAGGAGTGCTTGTTCTAGCTCAAGAGATAGGATCCTTTTTATATTACAGTACGAGCTCTTTTTTTTTTTTCTTAGTTTTAGGAGTTAACGGAGATTAGGGGGAAGGGAATTCAAACCTACGAGTTAATACGAATTTTTTTTTTTTTTTTGGTTCCCAGCAATGCTCAGTAGTGCTTATGATTCTTAATTTCTTCATTACCAGATTGCAAGTTGTCTGTCATATAATACTTTGTAGATTGCTCTGACAAAAACAACAATGCCTTCCATCTCTAATGTTCTATTTTACCATAATAACAAGGGTGGAGCAACTCATGTGGATATAGCTTGTGATCCAGAGTTAGTGAAGCTTGCTACTGGCTTGACTTCTCTTCCGGTAAATTCTCGCTCTCTTCAGAACTAAATTTTGATCATTATCTCTACAATCATATATTCGAATACAAATCTCTCATAGCTACGTTAATTGTCGTATGCATCTTCATATTAAGTTGTCATATCAGATGATTATTACTTCTGAAATGCTCTTTTAATGATTATATTATTAACGTTAGTTTTTCAGGAAATTTATTATGAAAGATGCTTAATTGCTTATAAACTTCAATAAATTGTGTGCTCTCCTGCAGGTTTGTGTTTCTTCCGTGAATCCAGCAGCATTTCCAGCTGCCGTTGAAGCAGGAGCGCTGATGGTTAGACCACCAACCTGTTGTATAATTGTTTTACATTGTCGGTCGGTCTTTAAGCTTGAAAATGTGAGATCCAATGTCTACACAAATCACAGTGAACTACTGTCACTTAAAACCTAGTGGTTGTTGATGCAGGTAGAGATTGGAAATTATGATTCCTTTTATGAGATGGGCGTGCTTTTCTCTCCCGAGCAGGTATGAAGAAATGAATTGTAATTCGAACACATATCTTGTTAGTTAATATTACTTGGTTTCCCATATCAGACTAGATGTAATTCAACTAACTAGGGTCGTTCCCCACCCCCAAACACCATATAGTAACGTACGTGTGTGTGTGTGTGTGTGTGTGTTTCACTATTAAAACAAACAGTTCAAAAAAATGAGTAGGATGTGTTTAGTTTTCATATGAAAAAACATTAAAATGGCCAAATTGAAATAAATGGATACATTTGGGAAGAACATCGTTCAAAATGGCCAGAAGAGAATTTAGTGAGATTTGGCCACAATTAGAAATTTCTGATCTCCTTTGCAATTTCGCTCAAGTTCAAGAGACTCTGCTAAGGAATTTGAGAAGTTCTTATTGACTATTCCAAGAAACACTGATTAAAGCCATTGCCATTTGATGACACTTTTCACTGTTTCGTTTCCATGCATTTGTTTATTTATATGCAGATACTAAATCTCACGAAGGAGACTCGCCGGATTCTTCCATCTGTGCCACTATCAGTCACTGTGCCTCACACACTAAGCCTCCTCGATCAGGTTACAAGCATCAGTTTTTCCGAGGAGATTAACCCGAATTGGCACCGTTCATTTTATTTAAACTATTTTGGTGACTAACAACAGGTTAAGCTAGCAGAGCAGTTGGAACAGGAAGGTGTTGACATTATACAAACTGAAGGAGGGAAATGCTCTAATCCTGCAAAGGCTGGTGTTCTTGGTTTGATTGAGAAGGTAAGATGAATGTATAAACATATATATACAGGTACACATATAACATCCCGGGATATAGAAGCCACAACATCCCTGGATATATTGTCTGCTTTGCACATTGAAAACCGTGAGCACAGAGAGTGTGCAAAGCAGACAATATCTACACAGGCCAGGGTGGGTTGTGACAATGCCAGCTCATACTAGTCTAGGGATAGAACGTGAGCATGTGACTGTCATCCATTTTGACTTATAAGCTCTCTCTTTGGTGTTAATCTCAGGCAACTCCAACGCTAGCAGCAGCATATGCTATTTCACGGGCTGTTAAGATCCCTGTCATGTGTTCATCTGGACTAAGTGCAGTTACAGCACCAATGGCTATTGCAGCAGGAGCTGCTGGCGTGGTACGTATAACTGCAAATGAAGAATAGTTTCTTCTATCTTTAAAGAATAGTGAATTAAACTAATAATGTTGGCGTTATCTTTGACACAGGGCGTGGGCTCTGCTATTAACAAGCTTAATGATGTGGTTGCGATGATTGCAGAGGTCAGAAGTATTGCTAATTCATTAGACATCTCAACCGTGAGACAAAATGTAACTAAGGAGAAGACTTTGAGAATCTAATTCATACAATTTTATGTTCTTAGTGTTCTCAAATATATGACTTAAAAGCGTAGGATTCTGTTCGGATAGATATATAAATGGACTTTTGGATCACTTTGAGCATGGAGCAACTTAATAAGGACTCGTTTCAATTTTTCTTCAGCTTCATCAACTGTCCTTGAGCTAATGAGCAGATAGTCTTCCGTGAACACGGATTTTACCTTCAGGACCTACTTCAAACTGACTGCTTAGGGTTGCCATATCTTTGAATAAACCAACAGAAGCAAAAGCAGACCTCTAACATCCTATAGCAAGTAAAGCTCAAGAATATGATGCAGACATTTTCTCAGGAGAATACCATAAAACTTTAATGAGCGTGCTCTACCTCATGCCCTCAGTTATCTGATCTATCCAGATACTGATTACTGACATACACGCTCTTGACCCAACAATTGAGGATGCGAGCCTCTTTCTCCAAGAACATGTTTTCATCATACAGGTTGCTTGGTTACAATATTTCACTTAATAAGAAAAAGCATAGACCACTATATTCACATTTTCTTATCACATCGAATGCAATTTTCAACAGTAATGTACACAAAAATTATACAGATCTGGAGTTTCAGTGGTTAATGCTAACCTACACCCATAAAATAATATATCTGGTTGTCAAGTGCCTGCTATTCCTGCTTAAACATTTTTTCCCAAAACTAATAGTCCTCATCAAAGTCTGATTCCCCTGCTTCTTGATCCTCTCCGCTTTCCTGCAAAAAATCCTTCATTAATTATACTATATAATTGTTGCTTAAAGAAATTATTAAATTAACCATGCAACATATGGGTAATTGAGAAACTTTAAAAAATAAAAAAATAAAAACAAGCTTACCTTTCTTTTGATATAGTCCGCCACGGCTCTATCAAACTCTGCTCGTTTTTCTGTTGCTATATCATAGTAATGAACCTTTTCCTATTACAGGCAGATTAAGAGGTAGGTGGCTACGTCAATCACTTGCCAATTGTTCAAGTGTCCAAAGAACAGAGTTTTTTAAAAGCATATGCAGAAATTAATACTGTCCACTGGCCATCAAATGAATGCACATATCAACGGATATTATTTCAGGGTTTGGCATCTAAGTGTGGGGAGTTCTTCCCTTCTAATTTGAACAGCTATTTATTCATATAATTCCCAATCGAAGACAATTTTACCATAAAATTTAGTCACCTGGAATAAGTAGTGTCATAGAAAATTAAGGCAAGCACTTCCAAACTCAAACAACCTACTTCATAACGGTTATATAAACTAAAATAATTATGTTGATCACCATGCTTAACCTGTTCCAGAACCACGTATACCAAACCCCCAACAATTTTTTATTTTTTTTTCTCTCTCCCCCTCTCTTTTTATTGGAAATGCTATGCAGTAAATTTTCTGAGAGAAATTTTATTTTCTTCTTCCTCCTTTTTCTGTTTTCTCTTCTCATGTTTAAAATTTCTTTTATTGATAAGGCAATGCGGTCAATTTTCTATATCCAGAGGGGAGAGAGAGAGAGAAGTTAATTTTCTCCCCTTGAACTAATTGTTTTGAACCAAAATTGTTGTCTCCCTCATAATTCAAAATTCACCTAAATTCTTTGACTTATTGAACCTTCACCTGAGATTCGCAAAGAAAAGAACACGCAGGTCATTGATTGGTTTTGGAAGACTTCCATCTTTGCAAGCCTAAACCTAAGACCCTGGGCACCACAACAATCAAGATATCATTGCACTCCGAGTAAAACCATTATGACGGTTTTATGTGGAACAATATGTATTCATAATTTTTATTATTTAAATGTGGGAAAATTTTAAGTTCCTATAGTGCTACTTCATTGACTTACTTTTGCACATTACTGAAACTGGATATTTTCACATTGCTGTTGCAACTTGCAAGTTACAATCATGCTACTGTGGCAGTAAAATAGTTGGTTTAATCAGGTCTTTGTGGTTTCCTTAGTTTAAGTTAAACATTGTGCTTGGAATGGTAGAAAGGAATAGAAGTGAACATCAAAGAAGAATAGAAGGGAGGAGATGGAAGGAGAAAATAATTATTTTCTTTTATCTGGTTGAGAAGAGGAATTGAAGGGAAAGTAAAAGAAGAGGAAAGGGAGGGAAGCAAGGGAAAGAGAAAACATAATGATTTTTAATTTTTTTTCCTCTCATGTTTAGTAGCATTACAGAAGAGAATAAAATTAACTAGAGGCAAAAACAATAAGAAGGAAGAGAGAGACACAGAGAGAAAGGGAAACTTATTTGCCTCCATTTGGTTGAGGAAAGAACTGGAGGAATTTTAAAACATTCCTCTTCTTTTCTCTTATCTTCTTCTCATCTCTCATTCCAAACACAACTAAAATTGGTAGTACTTCGATCCAAGGGCTAGGATTGACTATTATCCGTGTTCTAAATCTTTAAAAGGGAATGTACTTTATTTGGTATGATCTAAAAAGCAACGAACACAGCTATTAGAGTTCTGCTTCAACTTCGAAATGGCAGCTCTAAGCTTTGTTTGAGCAACTGTGATTGCCTTTGGTGTCTTTACTTCTCTCCTTTCTATGTATTCTTCCTATCATCTTTTTTCCTATTCATTAAAGAGCTGGAGCAAGAAACTTTGTGCAGTATTAAACCAAAGAATTCATGGTTTGCTGTCTAATATACATTTCTTTTATTTTTTATTTATCAAGGGAAAATAGGTCAAAGATAAGAAGAAACAGACGAAAACGATCAGAAGCCAGACACCCTACTCAAATCAAAGAGCTAACATGAGAAATCAGTATCGACTTATGAGAAGCTAGAACTAAAACCAGTGAGCCTTAGTCCCAACCAATTGGTATTGGTTTAATAATAAAACCATCAATCTTTATACGTTTGCGAATGTATATTATAATAAAACCATCATTCTAGCACTTAGCTTGACGGTCATAAATTTATAATCCTTGATTTGATGCCAGTTTCACCAAAACAAGTTGGCTGCAGGACAGGACCCCTGCGAGCCTCGAGTAATGCCAGTTGACAAGGAAACCTTTTTTTATTATTATTTTCTTCTCTCTACCAGTCTCTAAGACCTAAAGCCACTAGGACAAAGGTAGAATAGTGACATGTAAGGAAACCTACTATTAGTATCAGTTCAAATTCATGAAAACCAATGAGTTTTCCCTTGGACTAGTAAAGTTAATTTTTCAATAAGTTTGGAAGCCTAGAATAAAAGCTTCAGGGTATTGCTAAATAATTTGTAAATAGCACACCTATTTTTCACGAAATTTTTTTTTTTTTTTTAAAGAACTGGATTTATAGATGTTCGGACTCACCCGACCACCTCTGCCACTAATGGGACCATTGTTAGCAACACTACCGAATCCAATAACCATCACCATCACATGAAATGCAACTTCACCAACCACTCAAAACTATAAGATGAACATAAAACTACCAAGTAATAGAAGATATTTATTTATTTTATTTTTTCTTTTTCAGCACACTTCCGTTATTTTCAAAATTCTAAAGACAAAGGCTTCAGTTCACAACTTCACATTGATGGCATATGATGGTTCCATTTTATAAATGATAGATCATCCAAGGGGATATCAACCTGTGATATATGGATGGATGACAAATTATATGCACGGTGAATTTTAGGGATAGAAAAAGGGTAGTAATATTAGCACTCCAAAAAGCTTCTGGCATCCCACTTTCTTTGATGTTGAGATTTAAGAAGTGGAGTGCCAGAGGCATTTTCTGGAGTCTCAATATCACATTCCTAGACAAAACAAACACTATAAGATTTATGGGACCCATAGCCAAGAAATCTTTGCTCAGTTCAAGCCAATCAAACTAGAAATTGTACTAAGGAAACCAAAAGGAGGACATATCATTCACACACACCAAATGTAAAACTAAGTGATGACTAAAAGGCATTGCACAAAATAGTGATTTTCAGTTGAAGAGCAAACCTCATATGTCATTGTTTTCCATTTCTCTCCACAAGCCTTGCCAACCTAGAGCATGAAATGTATAGAAAATTTTGAAGACCACGAAAAAGAGGCAAAAGAAAAGAAAAGAAAATAAAATATTAAATAAAGATTTAAGAAATGAAAAAAAGAAAAGAAAAAAAGAACTAATATGAAGAGTTCCACCACATACATCACGCATCGACTTGACATCTGGATTCTGTTCTTGGAAACCCTTGCGAAAATCCTCCCTAGAAAATCACAAATAATATTCAGTTAAAACCCCCAAAAAAAACACACACCAAAAAAAAAAAAATTTTAAATAATAAAAAAAAACCATGGTTACATAAATATGTCTATCAGAGATGCACACAATGCATAAAAGTAGGATCCAGATAAAGCTTAAAGAATTAACTTTACATATTGACAAGGGAAAACTTGAGAAACTAAATGCATACAGATATAGTTTATATATACAGTAGCATCATCACAGCCATCACTGCTACAAAGATTACTGGTATAGCAAATGAAAAGAGATGGCAACTAGAAAGCTCTGAACCAAAATGATGCTTATGCTTCTGTCAACACTGCAGGATTGTCTTAAAGAATCTCTACATTTTATTAGTCTGTTCCTAATAACTAATTAAGAATACCAACAATTGCATAAAGTAATACCATAAAATGGACCCATATCAGCATAGATGCTGTAGTTGTGGAACGTAGCATTAACTTCAAGTGCAAATAGAAACTAAATGCTCCAATAGTTGGGAGCAATGTGTTGCAAAGTTAACTTGAATAGGACATATCAATCAATGAACAACATTTCTTTTACGTAATAATTCAGGTAGAAATAGCTATATCTAATGTTATTGCATACTTCTTTTTTAACTTTATCTCGCATCCTTTTAAAAGTTGTATGGGAAGATATCATTGTTCTACAAGTACAATGAACTTGGCAATGTGAGAACAAAGAACTTGGCAATGTGATTCATTATTTTTTTTTTTTTTCAAAAAAAAAGATTGTGATTGAATCAATTGATAATTTTTATGGCAAAGGAAGGCAGCAGAATTCGCAACCCTGGAATTACCTTCTACAATTTGCAAGTGATCCAATTATTCTTATTTCTTCCAAAGAGGATATCTAATGCAGGTTTAAGGCATTAGGTTACTGGACTATTTCATAGGAAATTTATTTGAAATGCTTTCCTAACCCACATTACAACTAGATATACAGGCATGAGAAATGAATATCTGTGTTGGTTATTTTATTACTAATACACAAAATAATACATAGAAAAGAGGAGACTCTCCTCACAAAAGGCCCCCAAAACAGGTTGCCAAGAACAAAGGCAACCAGCAAACTAGACAATTAAAAAATTACATGAAAATCATCTAAATTTAATCCCCAAAACTGAAGACACTCAATACAAATATCTCAAGCAATATCAGCTACTTCTCTCCTCCTGTCTTCTTGCAATCTCTATAATCTGTTTTAGGTTAACTATGCCATTTATTGTGGTCTACACTTCTTAGATCATTTAAAACCTATCCAAGGATTTAAAATCATGTTAGTCAAGGCAAGCATATTTCTCCCCTGACTCCCTGACATGGGACTATAATACCTCATTCAGTGCATGACCAAAGAACATATTTTCAAGCAACCAAATCAACACCACAATCACATTAAGTTACCTACATGAGCAAGGGCAACCTCACCTGACACACTAATAACTAATATCACTTAGGTACACACACTAAGTTCGTAAGTAAGAAAAATAAGTTACTATCCACGAAATTTAAAAATATATATATATATATTGAACGCAAGAAAGGAAGAAAAAAAAGTGTTATTAATGTTATGAAGTTCGGGAATCATTTTTAGAAGGATATTTCCAATATTAATCTATTTATGCTCAAACCAAAAGGGTCAAGAAAGCACAAAAAGAAAAACCCTAAATATTTATTAATGATTATTTATTTTGGCTTAGATATTCCTTTGCTTTAGGCTCCAAAATTCCACTTTCTCAATGAACATTACTGTCTTCTTCAAAATGAACGGATAACTACTGTTGTTTATAATGATAAAATTGAAAATAAACCCAACAAAAAATAATCATCCTCAACAATCAAAATATCATCTAGAAGTAATTGAGACAAAACTATCAAGAGACTTTTTGACAATCCAGTAGTATGTAGCATGAACATGGAATGCTTATATTATTAGCGTCATTGTCTAGAACAAGAGTGCCTCATGGACTGAACATCTTTTTATAAGCCTAGCTACAGTACAGAATTGTTTGGTGAAGCTGAACATTGAGCTCTGAAAATTTACTTTTAAACTAAGAGCACTGAAGATTTTATTTTAAGGTAATAATATTTCAGAAATAATTTTGTCAAATCAAATTTAATTCAGAAAGTACAATTCACTAAGTTTGTTCGGTGATCTATATGACTAAATACATGCCCTCTCTCACTGAAAAATATTTTTTAAGTTGTCACCACTTGTGCAATATCACCACTTGTGCAATATCAAACAAAATTACTGCAAAAGCTCCAGAAAGTGTTCCAGTTTTAGTTCCTAATAGGAGGTTATCAAACTGCCACTTTAATTTCAATGGCAAACCCACCTGCCTCAATCATTATCTTTCTCCAAAACACTGCAGTGAAAGTACTTCTATAAGCATTAGCAAGTCAATGGAAAAATCTAGTATTTCAAACCTTATCCTTTCAGCGCACACATAGCTCATAAGGCGCTTGGTTATTGCTGACAACAAAATTCTTCTACAACAACCACCACCAAGCCTTTTCCCAATTACTTGGGGTTGGCTACATGAATCCTATGCGATGACACCAAATTCTTCTAATTCGATAAATTTTACAAGCTTGTTTTAGCATCAATACCTCAGTGCCATTGTCCAAATCATCCTCCAACATATAAGGCAAACCTTCCTTCTCATCATGACACCTTGAATCTTCCAATACTTCAGCTTCAGGATCCTTCAACTTGCAAAAGACCATATTTAATCTATGTATACATAACTTGCCGAAACATAGTTCGCACCGACTCAACAAAACCTTCCTTCTTAAGCGACGTGTTTTTTTTTTTTTTTAAGCGAAGGGAATGTTTCCCTTTGTCATTCATTCCCTCGAGCATTGCCAAGAATTTCATTGATGATACAGCTCCACATGGAGTCGTGTGTGGGGAGTTTCTGTGGTGGGGAATGTATCAAGTTGATTCCAGAAAATCAGAAATAAAGATTTTGGAAATATTGTGAGAGCACACACTCACAAACAGACATAGTATCATAAACTAACCAAACATCAATTTGTTTAATAGTTAGGCCAATTGGTCAAACTACTATAACAAGTTCTAAGAAACACATGTTATATAGTTCCATTCATATGAAGCTAATTTCTATAAATATAAACTATGGAAGATATCATCAAGATGAGAGTGGTGGCCTGGTGGATTATGAGCAGCATAAAATATCCAATTTATGCAGGTTTTATGTTTTTTAGAAGCCTAGTATTGGTGTTTTGGAATGCAAAGTTCACTGGAATTACCAATTTCTCAAGTTCGAATTAAACCGGTCTTGTATAAAGCTGTATCAACTAACGAATCGAACTAGCTCACCAGCAAATGTTTGTCTAACAGGCATGACCTAGCCATATATAATGCAGTTTCTTAGCGGGTGTTGAAAATCCCTCCAAAACTTAACGATTTTATTGAACTAAAAGGGAACATCACCAGAATCATCAACCACTTATAGATTCCATTTGTGCATTTAAATTCCATCAAAACACAACAACAAACCCTTTTCAATGATGCATTTGAAACACATAAATCATTGATAATTTAGTTCATGCATATAATTATAAAAACTAAAAAGCCATTAAAACAATATATAGCAATAAAACACACATACAAAAAAAAATAATAATAAAAAAAAAAAAAAAAAAAACAACAACAACAACAAAACAGCAACAACGAAAACAAATTGAGAATTAGAGAAGTGTGTGAAAGTAGACATACAGGAAGTAGAAGAAAGCAGTAGGGGGTTTCTTGGGTTTAGTGGCTTCAATTTTCATAGCCTTCTTCTTCAGCGTCGTTATGGGCTTTGCTGATCTGAGTCTGCTTCGATTCGTCACTGCTTTCTTCATCTTCTCCGTTGATGTTATCTTGAACACCATTTTCCTACAATAATTTGTAAAATCATCTCTTTCGGGAAAAAGAAGAAGGGCATAAAAGAAGCAGCCAAAAAGCACATTAAAAGCTGAGAAGTCAAAGTTCTTTTTACCCGTCGGCGATTCTTGCGGGTTTACTAGCAGAAGCAGACGCTGAAGTAGATTTCTGAGACTTCTTCGTAGCTTTTTTTGCCATTAGTTTGCGCCTTTGGGTTGAGATTTTGTGCTGTGTCGGCCTTATTTCCGAGTCTTTGGGTTGAAATTGTGGAGTCGATTTGACATCTAGAACCTCTGTTATATTATATATATATATATATATATATATATATATATATATATATAATTATATCCTTCTATATATTTCTCCTACATTTACAGTAACAAATTCGAGTTGAATTTTTCTTAACGATAAACAAATCATCCTGTAAAAGAATACTCCTCTGTTAAAGAATACAAAATTTTAATTATTTAAAATAAATCTAAAGTTCTTTTAAAAAATCCATAAACCAGTCTTGCACATCACTATATTTTTATTTTTATTTTAAGGAAATAAATGACAATAATTATCGCCCAAAATACATCTTGCAATAAGCTTTTGCACAGGCAATTTATGCCATTTTCTTCATCAAAAATCAAGTGCAATACAACTATACAAAAATTGGAGTGTCAATTTCTATTATTAATATAGGAGTATTTGAAAATAATTAATGAATTTTATTAAAAAAAAATGATTTTTCGCTCCACTTCTGTGCTCTTATACAGTTATACTTCACTTAAAAAATATGATTGTTTTAAAATAATTCTCATTTCACAATCATCTCACTAAATAGTTTTATATTACTGTTGAATAATAATTTTGTAAAAAACAAAATCTCAAAAAAAATAAAATAAATAAGTGGAATTCAAGTATTTAGTATCTCTTGGCATTTTAGTTATACCATGTTATCATTTTTCTTTTCCCTTATGTATATTATTCTCTTATGGGTAAATGCTCGATAATGGGATTCAAATATAAGAATCTCATGCCAGTAGATATTATTAGTTCAGATAGTATGATTCTCCTTTATATAAGCACACGGTCAATATAGTGAGTGTATATTTGCTTGAATTTTTTTAATGGGTTAAAGCCCTCACTTGTTTTGAAAAATGTATAACTCCTTCGATTATCAAAGTATCAAACAATCCCTTAAACTAGCAAAAATTATCACGTTGCTCCATTTTCGTGACAAAACGGTTAAGTTGTTGCGAAATGACAATAATGCCTTTGATAATATATTAATATTTTACTAAACTAAAATTATAGTGAAAGAAGGGCAATTTTGTCATTACGAATTAGAAAATTATTTTGGTCAGCAAAATGATGTAACTGTTGCACTTATTTTCACTTGATACTATCCCGTTAGTTTTAAACTAAAAACTAACAGGGAGGGAGTGATATGATAGACTTTTTAAAATACTGAGATAATATGATAATTTCTTTAGTTGAAAAAGTTAGTTAATAATTTTTGGAAATAAGAGGGTTTTTGTTTTTATTTTTAAAAAACATTCAATTGTAATAATTTAAACTTAAATTGAAACATGCGACCACTTATTGCATAAAATCTAACCCCCCATTTCTATTAAAATTCAATTTCAAAGAAGCCAGTATCTTATGGAATTCCATCTATGAAGCACGGACACGGATATTGGACACGGGTATGACACGACACGGATACGGCGACACGGCAAATTTCAAAAAAATAAGACATGGATACGGCGATGATATGCCTATAAAATTTTATATATATATATATATATAATTATATATTCAAAATATAATTACTAGTATCTTGTATAGATAAATAAAACAATAACAAAGAACATAATCAATTTCAATAATTTCATCTCTGTTATAAGAAAAATATAAACAAGACAAAACAGAAAATAAATGAAAAATAAAGTTGATCCAAATTCCAAACGAAAATGTGCAGAAGAGATATAGTTATAATGAACTAAATATGTATATGAATAAACATATATACTTTCAGTCTTTCACAAAATCTTGTTCATGTAACTTATATATATATATATATATATATATATATATATATTTTGTTCATGTAGAGAGATAATTGAAGAAGATGAGAGACTGAGAGAGGAGTGAGAGAAAATAAATTTTGTCTCACAGAAGTGTCGGACCGTGTGTCTAAGCCTCGGACACGCGTGTCCAATAAAAAAGCCTCGGACACGCGTGTCCAATAAAAAATAATATTTGGACACTTTACAGAAGTGTCGAACAAGTGTCCGAGATTCGAACACGGGTGTTGGTGTTCGAAAAGTGTCTGACACTGATACGGAACCCCTGAAGAAAGTGTCCGTATTTCGTAGAATTCCATAAATTGGTGCCCAACTTTCCCAATACAACAGCTTCGATTCTGAAAGTACAAAGACAACAGCATAGCAAATGCATTAATGTTTCCACCTCCCAATCCACACACTAAACAAAATTTGTTATCCATCACTTCTCTTACCTCACACTATATCAAGTACAGTGTAATTATTATGAAAGGGCTCATAGGTAGTTGGCGTTGGCGCGACACATTTTTATAAATGAATAAAGTATTAAGGATGTTTGGAGAGAAATTTTTTTGATAAAAAGGATAAAAATTAGTAAGATTTTATCATTTTTAACGAAAGTATTATATAGTCAAAATATATTAATATTCTGTTAAGACAATTGATCCAACCACCAACCAAACCCTGGCCCCCTGAAAAAACACAAGAATTAATAATAATAGTTACCCCTAAGCACAAGCTATTGCCATCTGCAAAGAGACTACATTTAGTATGCAAAAAAGAAAAGTTAGGTATTTACATAAAAAGAAAAGAAAAGTATATTTGGCTTACAAAAGTACTTTATTGAGGTGGATTTTATTTAAAAAAGCCACCACATCGCATGCATGGTAGGGAATAGGACTTTTAATATTGTGATTATTTCTTGTCTAATAGCAGTGGACAAGAAATAATAAATTGACCACTGACACTGCCTGTTTAGAGTAGGTTTAAAATAAATGATAAAAAGAGTATGAAAATTAGAAATAAAAAAAATTATACCAAAATCTGTTTGGAGATAAATATTTTTTTGAAAGCTGATTTATGAAAACTCAATTTTAAGAAAGAAAAAAGCAAAAAGGTTGTTATGAGTTCTTCAGAAATGTTTTTTAAAAAATTGAACCAAACTAATCCCATAACTCATGTTCAGTTTAAAAATCACAGTGGAAATAAGAAAATAAAAAAAAGGACTTGTTATTCTATAGCACAACATTCAGCATTTTTCACTAGTAAAAACAAATAAAATAAAGGAAGGGAGGATCTGATAACTTTTTCTATTAACTCGTCACTCTATATTTTAATTTTTGTAACAAATGAATAGTAGTCTGATTTTTATTTATTTATTTTTTATCATAATATTTTCAAGCAAAGATAAAAAAATTACTATTATTTTTTTTCTTTCTAAAAGTTTTAACTAAAACTACTAAAATATGTCAATTGCTAAGGATCAGTAGTAATTGAGTACTGTTAGCATTTCGGAGCTTGCAAAACAAAAGCAGGGTTTAAGCTCTAACATTGAGAAATTGGGGTCTTTGAAAAATGCTGGTAAAAAGCCAAAAGAGAGAGCAAATTTCATACGTGTGCTCAAACAAGTCCTAGTACCCAAAACAAAAACACATGGTTTTCACTGTATATAAACACATAATCGATTGTGTGCACTGTGATTATTTAACTGAAGATCCCCCCTTCTTCAACACCACATTGGTTTCATCGCCTTCTCCCACTCTCTCTCTCTAGCCTTACACCACCACCACCACCATGCAAGCCCTTCAATCTCCTTCTCTCAGACCATCCCCACTCGACGCACTTCGCAAACACTCCCCAAACCTCACTCCCAACAATGCCAAACCACCACAAAAGCTCTCCTTCATTTCCGCATCGGCCCAATCCGCCACAGCCTCCTCCGCCCCCAAGCGCGAGAAAGATCCCAAGAAGCGCGTGGTCATCACAGGGATGGGCCTCGTCTCCGTCTTCGGCAACGACGTAGACGCCTACTACGACAAACTCCTCTCCGGCGAGAGTGGCATCACACCCATCGACCGATTTGATGCGTCTAAATTCCCCACCCGATTCGGCGGCCAGATCCGCGGCTTCAACGCGCAAGGCTACATCGATGGCAAGAACGATAGGCGTCTCGATGATTGCCTTCGCTACTGCATTGTTGCTGGCAAGAAGGCGCTCGAAGATGCTGATCTCGGCGGCGATAGTATCGGAAAGGTCTGTAATTTCTCTATCTTATTGACTGTTATTGACTTCAAATCTCCAATTTTGTTACTAATTGTTTGCTTGGTAATTGATTGGTTTACAATTTGAAATCATTTTCTCGTGGTGGGTGGTTGTTATTTCTTGGATTTGATGAGTTTGTGGTATGGATCTAAGGTTGTTCCTTTAGTGGTTTGTGGTAAAATGAACATGCATGAACAAATCAGTTAACCCTTTTTTGAGGCAGGGCATTCAAATTGGGTGCATTTTTTTAGCTTAGTAAACCTTCAATGACAAAATGATTCAGATTTTGAGTTTATTCTTTCTCATATGTGGATTTGTGTTTTTTGAATTTCATAGAAGCATATACAAGTTCATGCAACTTCTGAGTGCACACACACGCATTCACCATAATCTTGTGTTTGAGCACTTAGCCGATGAGAGTCGATTCAATCTACATCATAATATATCTAGTGCATATGTACACATATATGTTTTGTTTGTCTGAGATTTGGATGTTATGGAGGCCTGTGCTGGATTAAATAATACATTTATTTTGTCTGTTTGAGGATGCTGTGGCCGTCTTTCTAGATTAAGAAATTCATTTGTCTTCCCTGATATGTGTTGTATTAAAAGGATTTTACTAATTCATATCACTTTCATGTTTTTATGTCCTCTAGTCTGTCACAAGGTGGATATTCTTTTGTAATCTTTGAATTCTGGTCAGCAATCTGTGTTTGTGTGTGTGTGTTCAAACAAAAAATTTCTAACACTATCATGGACTTGATGTCGAGACCAACTACCTTGCCCTTTATTTTTCCTTTTTTAATTTATTAAATTTTGTTTATTTAGATGTAATTATAGATGTTACATATTTGAAGCAGGAACTTCTCATTATATTTTGAGAGGGAATCTAAAGGCTGGGGGAGAGAGATACCTATGATTTATTTAGCTCTTGCTTCTTAGCCTTGATCTTTGGCAGTGACCGCTCTCTGGTGTGAATCCACCTTGCAACTTTGGACAGCTGTTTCAAACTTTGATGTTCATCAACAGCTCTTTTCCGGTGGTTAGATCTTTTGGATCATTTCTTAAAGTGATGCACCATATGTAACTAACAATGCTAAAATTTTTACAACTTAAACGTAATTTTTCTTTTTTTCCTTTTCATTGGCTGTGAATGCAGAACATACTTAGGGGAGTACTTGATGCTGAGATTTAGAAAATTTCTAATGTCAACAAGTGGTAAAAACAGTTAGAAGTATATGGAGGTGCAATGTAGAATTGAAATGATATAAATGATTGATTTTTCAATGCAATCACGGCTCCAGAAAACCCAACAAAAATTCCATATTGTACTAGTCCACCAAAGTAGTTGGTCTCAACATCAGGTCAACAATAAATCATAAAATTTTGGAACTCTTTATGTTATGTTTGCTTCAGCACTTCCAGATTTGTACTCTGTTTGTACTTGGGTTGTGCCCCTTTCTTTTAGCTAAATTTGGTAAAGTTTTATTTGTTTTAAAGAAAAACCTCTCTAATATGAGTTTAGAGTTTGGTCTAATTTTTAGGTATTGATTTATTGTGAGGTTAATAATCATGCATATCTTTGAATCAAGCCACGGATGTCGTTTACTTAAAACAGGCGCTGTTCACGGTGTGGTTTTATACTAAGTGGTTGCTAGTGTGTTCCTCTGAATTAGGCAATGCTCACTTTATTCCTTTCTGGTTTTAGGGTGCTTGTCATTTGTGGGTTTGAGTAAGGCTGTCTGTTGCCTTAAGCAATGCACTTGCCATACTTTTGTTAACTTGATTTGGTTCTTATATGCTTACCATCCTGTATTGTGATTGTAATTGCCATATTTGTGCCTCCAAGTTCGAACATTGTCTCTGAAACCCATGCCTATCTATTTTATATGATTTAAGTGCCTGCCCATAGTTTTAACTCAACATATCAAAGACATGACATCAAGTTTGAGTTGCTTTTTATCCGACACCTCTATTCATGTTACTATTTTTGTGTTTTCTTCAATGGTAGTATATTGAATTACTACACTTAGTAATCTAAATGTTGCTTAAATACCATGCATTTTTTACGTGGTGCTCAAGTGTTGCATGTGCATCTCTTATGTTTCATGAACCTTCGAAAATGCCCGTAATTATGTAAATTACTTTTGTCAAACACATGACAATCGGATATATGGAATATTGTTTAACATATCCATATATTGTTTAACATATCTTGTTGGACAGACACCTCACAAGCATATTCTATAATTCAAATCTATTATATGGTTATAGATCAAACTCTCTTATCATGCTCCTTCTGTTACATTATATCTTCAAATGCCAATGTCGAACAGTGTATTGTACCAAAGTATTATTTTACTATACAAAATAACATTAAAATAATGAAATAATACGAATATTTTTCTCATTAGCTCTTTCCCTGTGTTTTTTGGGTTAGAAAATTGGATAAATATGACACTTACATGCACCAGACACATAAAACCAAGTCCATGCAATATGAAATATCTCATTATTTGATCAGTTTATGCTGTTCCATTTTGTGGTTATTTTACACATTATACGTCTGCCAATGTTGAAGAGCTCTTATAACCGTCCACAAATCTTTATATATTTTGGTATTCTTTTTGGTGAGTAACTGTCTTAGTTTTTTCCATTTTAAATTAGATAAACTTATATAAATAAGGTTCTTCTCTTGATAAATAACATGCAACAACATGTACACGGGAACAATAAAGCTAAATGCAGAATTGTGATCCTAGTGTGATAATATAATGAAACATCAACAGAAAGTACTCCTTGGAGCAACCACTGCAGTGGACTTCTTGTTTTCCAAGATTGTGGTACATGTCTCCTGTGCATCTAAATCTAAGTAGATCACTTGGAATCATTTTGTACAATCTTTTCCGTTTTGGTCAATGGTTTAAGATCCTTGAACTAAGCGTGTCATTGACTAATTAAGTGAGTGCTCGAGCCAAGCTTAAACTGGGAAGAGAAAACAGATTTGCAAAAAGTGAAGGAAGAGTAACTCATCAAAGAAAAACTAAAGAAATGAAGGAATAATGAACTATTTTATGATATGCTGACTCTTGCCTCGCATATGCCATATCTGGCTCATAACTTGCCTTGCATATGTCATATCTGGCTCATTACTTGCCTTGCTTCTCTATCCTTCACAGATTGATAAGGAGCGAGCTGGTGTGCTCGTTGGAACAGGGATGGGTGGTCTTACAGTGTTCTCTGATGGTGTCCAGGCTCTCATAGAGAGAGGTTACAGGAAAATTACCCCATTTTTCATACCTTATGCCATAACAAACATGGGCTCTGCCTTGCTTGCAATTGAACTTGGTTTTATGGGACCAAACTATTCAATTTCAACTGCTTGTGCTACCTCCAATTATTGCTTCTATGCTGCTGCCAATCACATACGTCGAGGTGAGGCTGATTTGATGATTGCTGGTGGAACTGAAGCTGCCATTATTCCTATTGGGCTGGGGGGTTTCGTTGCATGTAGAGCTTTGTCTCAGAGAAATGATGATCCAAGAACTGCTTCTAGGCCATGGGACAAAGATCGAGATGGATTTGTTATGGGCGAAGGAGCTGGAGTATTAGTAAGTCTGCTCCTTGTCATATGCACATTGGTTTTCTGCTTTTCTTTCTTTCTTTTATCTGTTAGATATTGGTGGTCTGGGCACTGCCCAAAATGAAAGACCAATGTGTTGTTGGAACCCAACTACTTAGGCTGTACTGCCTTTCTCTTGGGCGCTTCAGGGTACACCGTACACTAGCAAAGGAGTTAAATACATTGTAGATTATACATAGTGAATTGCTGGTGGCTTCTGTTGTGCTTGAAAGCATGATATCTGACAAAGCCGCCATGTATTGAGTGGGTAAATCCAGAGGAAAATGTTACTTGTTTGGGTGATTTGAAGGAAAATGCTTATTGAATCTGTAGACTTTTTTTCTTGTCTTTTTGCCTGTAGGGTTTTTTCTTTTTGGGTGTTTGTTGTGTGTGGTTTTTTTTTTTTTTTTTTTTTTTTCCGCGGCCCGCGGGGGGGGGGGGGGGGGGGGGGGGCGGGGGCGGGGGTAGGGAATCACTCAGGCACTAACAAAAAATTTGCCGTTTGAGATTCACTTGTTTCTTCATATTTATTTGCTGCTGTATCACTTTTGCATCTTATCCCCTTGTTCTGAATGCATGGACACAATTTTTCCCCTCTCAGGCTCACGTGCATACTCAGACAGAATCTCCATATAATTTTCAGTTGAGTTACTTGGACTATACTTAATGAAAGGAATCTTAATACATTTTTGCGACATTTTCTGTATTCTTGGTAGGTAATGGAGAGCTTGGAACATGCAATGAAACGTGGCGCACCAATAATTGCTGAGTATTTAGGAGGGGCTGTAAATTGTGATGCTTACCACATGACTGATCCAAGATCTGATGGACTTGGTGTTTCTTCATGCATTGAGAGAAGCCTTGAAGATGCTGGTGTGTCACCAGAAGAGGTGCTTGCTTTCTTTTCATTGAATTGAGTTCTTATACCATGTGATTTGTTTTGTTTTGTTCTTTCCTTCTAAATGACCTCAAATCTTATACGATAAAACTTATTTGTTTTATATTCAAACGTCATAACAGTCACTCAAAAATGCATAGGCTAATGGTTTTCATTTTCTCAAGCACATATGGAGAAAATGAAAAGGTAAATCTTAATTATTATGGTCAACTATTTTACATTCATCAATATGGGTGAATTCCCGCAAAACTAGTCTATGGTAGTATATTACTACAAGAACATATTGCTACCTGCTGAAGTATGGTGGTTGTTACTTGAACTATATGTAGTGTCCGTGTAAATGTTATGCCGATGAGCTAAGTCATGTATAACCTGTTAAAAAAGGTTATAGAGCTCAAAACCATTTTTTATTTCTTATTTTTTTGGGGGTGGTGGTGGTTGCTGCATGCTTCACCATTATGTCATGGTAATGCAACTAGTACCTCTCTGCTGAATTAATTGATTTGATAAAACTTGGAGAATGAGATGATTTGGCATGTTATGCATTTGCCATGAAAGGACTACACGTCAAATGGTGGTGCAAATTTAAGAATTTATCGTCGTCATAGTTGAAATGGCTATGACCATTTTGCATGCTGTTGATTGCATTAACTCAATTCTTGATCATTCCTCTATGTCAACTCCTGTCCACTGGATGACATGTCATGATTTTTAAGGTGGTGCCTCAATGCATTGTTTATGCATACCTTGGATCAAACTGCAATTGATTGGAATGATGTGCGCTAGTTTTTTAAGATTGTGAAAACCTGTGAGAACCTTTCCCGGTCAAATGCAGGGGCCATAGAAAATCTGCGAAATTGCTGATTTGTTGTATATTTACAATTAAAATGTTTTCTCGCCATGTGTTGTCAAAATATTGTACTGAATGTTGTCATCAATTGTTTTTTAACCAAATCCTGCTTTGTTTTATTGTGATTGATGTCTGTTTCCATCTCTAGTTATATTCAATCAATAGAAATATGTTGAAATTTCTGGAATGGTGAATTGACTAATCAAACTTATCCTTATTTTCCAGGTAAACTACATCAATGCACATGCGACTTCCACTATAGTTGGCGACCTGGCTGAGGTGAATGCTGTAAAGAAGGTATTCAAGAACACTTCAGGGATCAAAATGAATGCAACAAAGGTGAAGACTCTCTCTCACACACGCACGCTTGTGCACGAGTAGATTGTCTTGTAGTTTCCGATTTGAGCAGAAGCTGGGGTGCTGTTGCTTTCTTGCAGTTTTCTGATTGATGCATTTTCTCCTTACTTCTTTTTCGTTTTGTTCCAGTCAATGATAGGTCACTGCCTTGGCGCTGCTGGAGGTTTGGAAGCCATTGCTACAGTAAAAGCCATTACTACTGGGTGGCTGCATCCCACAATAAATCAATTTGTATGTCCGTTAGCCATTATTTATCACTATAACATTGTGACAGTTTATTTCAAATTGTTTCTGATTGGCAATGAGTAGTTATTTAGTGATGTGCATTAGTCATTTGAACATGTCCTAAATTTCAGTATTAAGGCTGTTAACTATTTTGGGGCCTTGTATTCTAATAGAATTACCATGTAGATAGCCAAAATAAGACTAAATTTATCACTAGAATGATGGTCTTTAAAGCAATTGGCAGCTATGAAAACTCAAGGAGTTGTTTTTCAAGTAGGTTTATTTCTATTGCCAAAATATGCAGAGAAGAAAAAAGAGGAAGCTTGGAATTTTAAAATTACTGTTTGTGAACTCGTATAATAAAGATTCAATTTCTTATATATGCAATAGCTTAATTACTTTCATTGATAAAACTGGTTACAAGATGGAAGATACATTGAGTGCCGTATGACTACCATTACAGCCTGAATATCTAGCAATCAATATGGAAATATCATGTTCATATTGCTTCTTTCATTTCTGCCAGAGTTGTAAAGCTTTTAAATTTTCTGTTCTCTGTTTTGGTCTTCTTGGCAAATCTGCAAAACTGACTCATACTCAATGTCAACTTCAAACTCTTTTGGTTCGTTCATTTCACATACATATGATTCTTGATTTCTCTTGTTTGCTAAATGCAGAGCCCGGAGCCCTCTGTTGAGTTTGACACTGTTGCAAATAAAAAGCAGCAGCATGATGTGAATGTTGGTAAGACACTCTGATGGACTTCTTAAGTATCTACTGTCACAGAAAAGTAGAATAACAACCCTGTAGCATCTTTACTGATATTTAACTGCATCATGATATGCAGCAATTTCAAATTCATTTGGATTTGGTGGACATAACTCCGTTGTGGCCTTCTCTGCATTCAAGCCTTGAAGCCGTTTTTCTGCACTGCTTGTAGCCGCGGCAATCTTTGCTTATTCGAGGTTTAATTTAAATCTTTTTTAGAGGCTGCTTCATTATCTTTCTGCAACTTGCATCTGTAATTTGAGAATTCATAGGTTTCAATGTAATAATTTTGAGTAGAACCCTAGCTTTAAGACTTTCTTTCACTTTTTACCTTTTTAGATCTTTTGAGGTTAATCAGGCATGAAATTTTGTTCAGTTCTGAATTATGTAGTGGTCTCCTATAGTGTTTTTATTATTATTTGGAGCATGTCTTTTGTTATTGGGTAATGCAGATGTACTCTCTTAAACAATATACAAATACCTAATAGGCGAAGCAATTGAACCATTCAAGAGTTCACGGAAAAGCTCTGGGTGTCCAAGCTCCAAAATTTGTTCTCTCTCTACCCCTTGGCCTCCACTTTGGGGAGGTGGAGATCATCCACCTAGGCCAAGGGCTTTGCTGGTATTTCCTCCACTGGGTTTTTCTTAGGCCTTTTAAACTTTCACACCCATTCTCTACTGAGCAAATAGTGCAAAGTCCGAGTTAAGCCTATAATTCCAATTTGTAAACCCTAATATTGCTTCCACTCGCATATTTTGTGAACATTCAGTCAAAATATTCAGAAACAGTCTCTCTCACAATATCACGATTAATAGTGTGAATATAATTTTTGCTGTCAAGTCACTTTGTCTCTCATAGCAATCTTTTATACGGTAGTACCAAACATGATTACAATCATCTCCTAATCAACTGTCTGTTTTACAATAAGGCCCCCATTTTCATATCTACTACACATTGTTACATCTGAATTTAAAATCAAATATTTCAAAATAAAATAAATACCATAAAAAAAGCATACACTATTATATATTCCACTCCACTTTTTGATGCATGTACTTCATTGCATACACACTTTCCTGAGAAATGCACTTTGGTTGATACAAAGTACAAGCATCAAAAATTAGAATTTAAGGCTCTCTTCTACACACAAGAAAAATCATAGAAAATGTGAAAACTTTTATTATTTTTATTTTATTATTTTTATTTTTATGTTAGTTGAAATAATTTCCTGAGGGCATTGCTTCTGGAGAAGTAACTTCCAAGTGCATTGCTTTTCCTAAATGGGTCGGTGAAAAGCTCCTTTTGGGTGTCCCTTTGTGGAGATAAGAGTTGATTAGTAGGTGTGAATGTGATCGTCTCAGTGCCTCCCAAAATCACTCCCTGCTTTTGCATGTAATCCCATTTGTCTTGAAAGAGGTAGAAGAAAGCCATGAAAATGACTTGTGCTGTGAAAAGGATGCTCCAACAACTACTACTTCTTGATGTTCTCTTGTGGTATGCTTTCAAGCCTGTGTAGATGTTGAGAATTCCCACTATACATATTGTTGTTCCAAGTACCCAATGCACAAAGTACCATGTTCTTCTTTTACTTCCACTGCTAAAAGTGAGAATTCCAAGGCAAATTTGAGAAATTAAGAAACTATCATGTTTTGTGCTGTATAGAATTGGAACTTTGGAATTAGAATTGGAGGAATTATAGAAAATTGTAAGACATGTTCGGTTGCATGGAATTGGATCATTGAAATTAAAATTGGTGGAATCGGAAAAAAATAACTCACAAAATTGAACTAAAATTTTCTTGAATTCCCCAAATTAAAATTCCAAAACTCCAATTCTATGCCGCCGAGCGTAGCCTTAGTTTAATTCCAATTTCACCAATTCTAAAACTTCAATTTCATACAGCTGAACATAGCATCAACATTTATGGAATACAGTTATCTTTTTGTATCAAGAGAACTCAAACAATAACAAACCAGAAAATAATTGAAGATTAGTAAATTACCTTCGAGGCTTGCAAAATCCAATCAAAGCTTGTATCCAAATGGCTCCATAGAGTGCTAGGCCTAATCTTTGGTGGCTGTTGCTGAATGAATTCTCGAAGTTTTTTATGGAGAGTACAGCTCCAACAGTGGCAAGTAGTACCGAAAGCATCTGCAAAATAATATAAATAAAATAAAATGGACTCCGGAATTATTATTATTATTATTATTATTTATTTTATTTTTGGTGTTATTCGTGTAGATTACAAAGTAGTTGTCGTCAAACTCAAACTCGAATTCTCACACTTGAAAGTTTAACCAAAAATACTAAAAACCTACACTTGATAGTCTAACCGAAACTACTAAAACAATCACGGCTTGATAATCATGTCGGCATGGGATGTCTATCAAACATATGTACCTTGCTTAACAAATAATGTTATATGGTGATGATTAATTATTCTTGTGAACTCTTACAACAAAAGTAACCAAAAGTTATTAAAACTCTCCAAACATTAAATCATACAGTACAATTTAGATGTCCTTCATGAGAATGCTAAAAACCATGTTTTTGAGTTAAAACTGCATAATAATTATTCAAGTGTTAATAATAAGGATACAATACCATTGCCAAAACTGTGGGCTAAGTTGAAAACATAAGTGTGGTCCAAATAATCTTTTACTTGCATTTCCCTCATCATGATGTCGCAAGCAATAAAATAAAATAATTTTAATAAATAAATAAAAACAACTTTAATGATGATGCCTAATGACCCTAAAGCAGGATAATTTTTTTAATTGAACACCTAGAAATTAACTACCGACAGTGTTATAATTAATTTCTTTGTTATAAAATGGAATTGATTGTAGAAATTAAAATTAACAGAAATTGGAGAAGAAAAAGCAGCTGAAATACCTGCAAAATAGCATGGAAATAGAAAAGAACTTCAAGCCTTCTTCCAGTTTGTTGTCTGTTGGACATTCTAATTGTGAGTATTCCAACTGGCATTAAGAAGCCCATTGAAGCCCATAATAGAAGCCCATGAAGTTCTATATCATGTGTCATCTCAGAACTCACCTGTATATTAGTATAAAAAGTCACTAAAAACTAGTTATTTTTTATTTTTTTTTATTTTTGGGATAATTCGGGTATCCGAGACTTCGTCCCGACTAATCTTCGAGAATCTAGAGAGGGTGGCCTCCCCACACCGGGACAAACTAGTACTTAATTCTTCTACTAATGCATGAAAATTCACACACACACAAACACACATACACAGAAATTTTATATATATATATATCTATCTATTACCATGTATAGTTCATGGGTTTTGTACCCAATAAAAGAAAGAGAGAGAGAGAGAAAAAAAAAAAAAAGGGCATAAATGACATAATTACCTTGTGAATGTTGTTTTGGGTGCTCTTGTTAGCAGTGGCAAATGGTAGAAGAAGAAGAAGAGCAAAGCTTGCAGGAATATTCATGAGACACAACTTCTTTAAGATTTGCATTCTCTCTTTCTCTCTCTCTCTCTAAATACTTTTCAGCTTTTCATGAATCTTTCTGAAGATGGAAATAGATGCAGTTGAAGGCTTTTTAAGAATGTGATTGGGAATGGGAGCTTTCAGGCATAAGGTTATACAAAAAAGTGAATATATAATTGTAGCTGTTTTGAAGATCCATATACTACTTTGTGTAAAGAAGTAATTGGGAAAAGCACTTTTGTTAGTTAGTTATGGGTTATGAAGCTAGCATACATAGACAGGTCTTTCATAGTGCTTGATGGTGGTGGATATGAGAAAGATTTGATTAAGTAAGAATGTGGGGCTCATAATATCTAGGCCTTTAGCTTTCATGAGTGGTATGAAATGGAAAGAAAAGAAAGGAAAGAGGGAGGAGGGGATTTGGGATTTTAAGAGAAGGGGAAGAGAAAAGAAAGGAAGAGATGGTAATTCCCTCCATTGTTTTCCTTTCACAAATGACATAAAATGGAGTGTAAGTGGAAATGAATTTAACGACTATTGTTTTGCCTTTTAAATTTTATCCTTCCTTTCTCACAATTCTTCATATCACTTGAACTTATTATTATTATTATTATTATTTTATCCCAATAAACAAAAACAGAAGCGATTAAGGGGTTAACGCTTGTTTTCATGTAAATTAATAAGGTAGGAAGTGAAGGGTAGATTTGGAGCCGGACAACATCATGATGCAACTTTTGTTTATTGTTTAAAGCTGCCTTAAATAGGCCCGCCAACACTTGAGCACTACACTTGATTTCTTCATTTTCATGATAATGCCATTGAAATCAATATAAACATACTTATATATATGTAGTATACAATTACTTTTATTCTTTAAATTAGTATTGTTGTAATAACTACTATTTTTTTTTTTTTTTTTTGGTAATTTTTCCATCCTAACCAAATAAAAACAAGAAACTTTTTTTTTTTTGGCATTGACTTCAACTCACTTTTATTACTTTAATTTTTCAACATTATTTACTTTTTGACCAAATGAAGAGATTTTATTAGTAGCTCATCTATCCATCATTCCCATTGGTTTTAAAAAATAAAAAGATATCAGAACAAAGAAAACTCTGTGGTGCATTTACTTCTTTTGAAAAAACAAAAAGTCAGAACGAAGACAAAAAATGTCTTCTACTTAAAAGAAGAGGTTTTAAAAATAATAACTCACTTTGATTTCTTTATACATTGTTATGATTATCAGTTATTGTTGTCCTCTAATGATCTCCAATATGGAGGGTGAGAGTGTGTGTGTGAAGATTGAAGAAAATGGTGTGAGTTACAGCTACAAATTAACATGTTTTTAATCTTATCACAAAGGAGAACCAATATGGATCACTACAAATTAACATGTTTTACAAACAAAGCATTATTTTACAGAGTAATCATTACAATCCTATTAGTTTCAATGTACAATTTATATTTATAAAGAGACCAACAAAATAAACAGCTAATTCATATCTTGATCAGATTTGGTTGCAAAAAAGGGCAAGTACGTGTTTGTCTGCATTGAACACGTCGTTTTAATCACTTGAGAGCAAGAATTTATTTTAAGGAAACAGACTTCAGTGCAAAATGTGTAATAAATATATGCAAGTTCACTGAAAAATGTCACAAACTCCAAGGCGGTACTCAAAGTGGGCTGAATCAAAATAAATGTTAGATTCAGCCTAATTACAAGGATTTTATTTTTTAATTTTAATATGCAACTCGTTTGACCTATAGAAGAGCTATATTGTTTCTGGTATAATATGATCTTAAAGCTAAATGCCCATTTAAAAAACTGTTCTCCAGAACGGTTATATAAAGATTTCCCACTCCATGTTCCAATACTTTATCTCTACCCGCGAGCTACACCATAGAGGGGTTTCGCTTCCGAGTTGACACCATATACTGAGAAGGGCTAAGCAAAGGCTTATAGAGAGACAAGGGGTTAAGCAGGACTACATCTCATATCCCTGAGCCACTCATCCATCAAGTGAAGAGCTGCTATATTATGCTTTCTTATCGTCAACAAAAGACAAATATCTCTAGTGATAGTACAGAATGAGAGATAGTCATGCTTGACACAGCAACACAACAATCAAAAGAAAAATTAAACTAATTCACACAATACTCCCAAACTAATTCAGTGATACGTAGAAAGAGAGAGCGACAACTAACACTGAGCATCTACGGCCATTTTATTTTCACCCAGCAAGCTTCAATAGAGGATTTAATACCAGAAGAATTAGGTCTAAAGAATTGTTTGCACATAAAGTTGAACCTTAGACCTCACGAGGCACCAGAGCCGCCCTTGAGGTTGAAATAGTCTTCTTTAAATCTACAACCAGATATATATTCTCATCCATATCTCTTAATTGAGAGAACACCAACAAAGCAAAATTTTGGTTGCTCTTTCGGACAGGTTCTCCTCTCATGCCGAAGATAGGAAGCAAAAATTTGGTGGCTGCTTCGGGCATAAATAACAAAGAGGAAGAGAAAAAACTGAAATCACATTTCAAGATTACTACATTGAAAAGGCCATGCACTTTTGAATTACAAACAAAATCAACCTCCAACAAGAATACCATAAAATTTCAAATCTGAAAGTAGCTTCAATATCTGAATATCTGAAGAGTAGTGATAGAGAACCCGAAGGCTTCTAACTACAAGAACACCGAACCTGATGTGGCCAAAGCCAGATCAATTCGCTTTCTCTCTCCTGTCTCTCTATATCAGGTTCTTCATCTGCTTCAAAAATTCTTCTTTATTCTAGAGAAAGACCCAAAACTCATATAAGAATATACCTCCAACTAATATATAAATACCTTCTTATCCATATCTCTTAGTCTTCTCTCTTTCCTCTTCTCTTCTTGGCATACAAAATTATGGTATATATATGATCTTGGCATACAAAATTATGGAAATAACCTGATGTGGCCACCGTTAGATTCAGCCTCTCATTCGGTTTTTTGGTTCGATTTCACATCATTTCCATAAATTAACTCAAGGAAAACAAGTCATAGCATTGGGATACCCTTTTGATTCAAGGGTAATATTAAGCCAAGAATCTTTCTACATTCAACAACATATCCCAATCAAATATAACCTTAAACAACCAACGCTAGCAGGAGTAAGACAAATTCACATTAGAAAACAGATGAACTCAAGGGAAGAAAAGCTGCAATAAAAATAACAATAATATCCAGAAGCAAGTACTGACACTGACACATTCAAGTAAGCAAAATAGGGTTTCACAGAATACCCCAGGAAAGGAATATTCAGTCTAATATTGCAAAATTCTCAAATCAAGCAATATCCAAAAAAGACAACACAAAAAGACTACTAAAATAACAAATTCAGAATTTTGTCTTACCCCTCTTTATAGCTCCTTTGATATAAAATCAAGAGAGTTACATAAACAAGTTTGGCCTAGACGCCTTGTATGTGGTTTTGAGCTTCCTAGTTGGTGGCCTAACCTTCCTGAACACCAAGGGGAACTTGATTTTGGAGTTATGGAATTGTTTGGTGCTCTCCCTCTTGCAAAGCTTTGCAGGGATAGTGGCTGTCTTGATGATCTGGATGCAATGAGCACGGACCCTGTGGCGGGAAGCCATCTCAGTGTACATCTGTTCAACACCACCATTCAAAGTGGTGTCACGGTACTCTTTGTACATGTTGTGATAACCAGTTCGACTTTGATAGCGCAACCAGATACCATAATTCTTGATCGTTGTTGGATTCTTCTCAAAAATCTACAAAATAAATTGAGTAATTACTATAAAGTCGAGCTCACAGAAAGACAATTCTTCAAAACCATGGAAATTCATGCAGAAAAAGTGTGTTTTTAAAGCATAATAAGGAAAATTTTAACTATCCATCCAACATTCCAAATTGTATCGACTAATGTCATAAAACATGCAATGTAGATAATGAAAAAGACAAATCTGAACAAATGCCATCTTCTGAAACTTAGGGTAATCTCTTAACTGCAGAAGTAAAAATTCACTTGAATTGATAAATTACTAGGATACAGGTTCAATATGAAATGAAACCTCTACTTCTAATACCCCCATAATTTTTAGTTAGTCAGCAAGATTTTGCAACCAGCTTTGATGAAGGTGGTACTCAGGAGCCGATAAGCTCACTCAATGATAAGACATTCATGTTTGTTATTAGATAAACAACACATGCCTTCCTAGACTGCATCAACACCACCTTCATAGTCTACCATATTAATAACACCCCTTTTAGTGGCTTTTGTTATCCTCAGTTGTGAACTAACAGAATCTAACCATAATTATTTCAAAAAATTCTAATTTCCTTTTCAACAAGTTTTTTAGCATAGAGGTTCATAATGTCAGACAATGACCTTTATTCAAATTCGAAAATAAGTAGAATCATAAGAAATGATTCAAAATATAGCTTAAATATAGACAAAAATATATAAGATTAACAAAAAGTAATCATCAACAGTATTAGTTGATCAATAAAAGTAAAGAATTATCATCACACTTGAGATAATGACTAATAATATTGATAGAAAACAATAGTTTACAATTAACAAAGAGTATTGTCGCCTAGTAAAAAACAGCACAGCACCATGGTCATTACAACTGCAAACTAATATTTATAGAAAACAACAAGCAAGACCATTATAGGTAGGAACATACTTAAATTCCCACCTCAACCACGAAATCCTAAACCCTGTTTTTATGTTATATAGGAGCCAACCTATAAATGAATGGTGAAACAACTGGCAATCCTACAACATTTAGTTAACTTCCAAATTAGGCGCATCACTAGGGGACCTTAACCTCCCATCGAATGGCCATTTCATTACATAAGAGCAACAATTGAACCCGCATACGCATTACAAGAGTGTGAAAAAAATAGATACACACTCCATCTCAAAGTAAGCAAACATTTCATTTTGTGGATGTACCAAGATAAGTGTCCTTTTGGGAAGCCAAAATGTAAAAAATTGCATATTTTCTATATTGTCCTTGAGTTTCACAAACATATTAGTAAACGAACACACATGCCATTGATCTTTAGATGGCTAGTTTTGGATTTCAGAGGGAGACATGCATTTTGCACATCCCCTTAAAAAATTGACAAGTCTTGTAAAGGTACATTCATTTTGTAGGACAGAGAGACCAATATGTGAATGGAAAGGGAGCACATTTCAAAAAGATAATGAAGAGTATTATCTTTGTTCACAAATAATCATGTAGTTTGAGGAAGTTATCAATTTTCATCGCCAATGGGTGTTCTCTTTGTGGGAAATAAAAATGTTTGTGTGTGGTTTTCCATGAAGAGATCAAGAAGAAAATAGATGAGATTGAAGAACATAAATGAGTTTTTGTGAATATTAAGAACCATTTTGCAAAGAATTATGAAAGTAGAATTGTCATTCCATTTTATGGAAACAAGGATTGTCACCACCCAAAACAAAATTCATCCATATAAGTTACAATTTACCCAATCTTACTAAGGGATTTATAACAAGGCCTTTCAAGCAGCAAATACTTCACAAGTAAGAAGATGATAGATACGGAGGGCAGAACCACCATTACTTGTTCACAAAACTCTCAGAAAAAGCCATTCAAGATAAAACATAAACTGGACTTTTATGTGATCCAATGCATATTGAAAGAACAAAGAAAACATCAAACCATAGAGAAATGAACCAAATGACAAATCAAATTACAGAATTGATTTGATTCAGTTGGAGTGTATACAATCCGCTGATAGTAAGGCACAAGCGCATATTATAACAGTGAAATCCCAGTATTAGCCTTAAATAATTCCAACCAAAAATTGATGTTTATTTTGTTAAACAAGAAACTAAAAATATAGACAATTTAACACCAAAATAAACTATTTTCAAAAAAATATGTAAACTAGCTTAAAAACATTAAAAAATCATTTGAACACAGAACAAAGCATAGTAAGAATATGAGAATGTTATACCTCATTGATAGCGAGCATTTGGCCATTGCTCTTCTTAACCTTCTTAAGCTTCCTCAGGAAATACCTTACGGAAAGAAATCAACCAAAATCAAATCGAACTCCCAAATTAATCAATGATTATCTAAATTACTATAATCAAACTCATCAAACATCGCATTGTACACACACAACGCACATACCAGAACTTGGATTTGGCCCGAACCTCGTTTGTGGCCCAAAGCTTCATGCGGTAGATCTTCGGATGCTCATCGGTCTCCGAAGGGAGAGCTCTGCCAACAACCTGGTACTGATGAAACTGCAAACAATCCAGCGATAGAGAAATACTTACACAGTTCAAATCACATACATAACAATCACTACAACGAGGCAGAGAAGATAAACCTTCATACACAAATTGTATACGTGTTTGATGAAAATTATTTGAGATCTAAGAGGCGGTTTCAATTGAATCAATAACACAGAAAACCCTAGAAGGAGAAGAAGATAAGCTATAACTTACCCTGAAATTCACCATGTCCAAAGAGCTCCCTCTCTCCCCGTGATTGTGTGTGGGCGTGTAGGAATTAAAGGAAGGGGAAACTAGGGTTTTGCATTTATATAGTGGTAACTGGTAAGGGTGTGTAACTGGTTGGGCTGGGCTGGAGTTTTGGGTACTTATGCCAGAGCTTGCAGGGCTTTGACTATTCAACGGGCCTGTCTGGGTTAGCGTTAAAGCATTTGAAGAATTTCAAGCCCGCACTTTGGGCTTTGGGTAGCCAGCTGGGAGTTTGGAATGGGCCCAACTTGGGGCTTGGAAGGGGTTAGGGTGTGGGCTTGGAACGGGCTTTGATTTTTATCTTGAGATATCTTTTAAATCAGAACATGCACTGAGCTTTTCTACCAGAAACAGGTTCTGGGGGCACCCCACTTATATATATATATATATATATAGTATTATATACAATTTTTTTTATATTTTATTGTATACCTATGAAATTTTAATATCATTCTTATTGAAATTACAAAAATAACTCACTATTGCACCGCCCACTCTTATATATATTTTATGAGTCTCTCCCTGCTCTGAAATATCTTTCAACAAGCAATCAGTCAAGTAGATTTAAAAGACTTGATTATTGAATTCACATAGCTCAAAAGATAAATAATACTAGACATGAACGTTGTAATTAAAAATGAAAAATATGTCCCTCTCACAAATACAAGAATTTAAGAGAATTTTAAAAACAAATTGGAATTTTAGAGTAGAATAATTCTTGATATTTTATTATTCTTTCATCATGTCATGTCACATGTAATGGGAAGATGATTTCATCTTTTGAATGTAAAAGGACATGTTGACCAGTGTTTTAGATCTAATTAATGAACTCAAATATCATTTATCCTTAATCAATCGATGCAAGTAATCAGGATTATATATATTCACAACATTACCAATCTTTTTCTCCCTTTTCTATTTAGCTGCCTTACAAATGCTTGAAGTAGGGCCTGTTCTAGACCGCCCTCCTGGAGTCCAATAATATTGGATTTGGGCTTTGTTTGGGCCTCATCTCAACCCAAAAAATTCATGCCATGCCAGCCCCAGGCCCATTTCTAATAAGTTGCTTGGGGATCTAGTTTTGCCTTTTGCAAATTAAAAAGTATAAAGTGCCAAAAAAAAAAAAAAAAACTTGAATTATGTCTGAATTTACAGATAATACCCACTGAATTTTCACATTTTGTTGCGAAATAGTCCTATGTCTAGCTATTTTTTATCAAATGACCATAATGCCCGTTTTATTGAATTACACTTAATTTCCATTTTTATTAGAATAAATTATGAAAAAATCCATATTAATCTGATGATATATTCTGCATTAAATTTGAATAAATTACCCCTAATTCTTGAAATTAATCATTTAAATAAAAATCTTAAGTAGAGAATGTTAAAACAATTTAAGTAATTTTTCATGAATACATTGTATGAAAAAAGGTAATTATATATATATATATATATATATATATATATATATATTTAAAACTAAGTATAATAAGTTTTTTTAATAAATTATAAAATTTAATAATAAGTTAATCATATTAGAAAATTGTAGTTACAACTCTGTTTTTTTTCTTCTTCATTTTAATGATAATTTGATACTAATAATAAAATTAAAATAAATGGTATAAATTAAATAAGAGAAAAGATAATAAAAATAATTTAATAAAAAATAATAAATTTAATGAGAAAGAGTAAAAATAGTCTTTTATTATGAATTTGTCCTTAATTGCAACAAATCATTAATTTAGAAGGCATGCTTTTTATAAAAGAAAAATAGTTCAGGAATTTTATTTTATTTTTATTTTTATTTTTTTACACTTTAAGCAACTATAGTCTCCCCTGTCAAACCTAGGAATATAAAATATCCATCCATTCAAGGCTCTCTGCCACATCCATCAATTGTGGCCTAATATATCACATTCGACATGCGTCTTACATTCTCAAAAAGTAATTTGAAGATCAAGTGAAGGACGAATCCAAGAATTATTAATGGGGGTTAAAAATAAACAAGGAAGAATTGGGATCGAAAGATTAAAGAGTTGAAAATTTTTATAGGAAATAGGGTTAGACTTTAGAGGGATAGAAGGAGTGAGCTCTCTAATTTGTGCAAGATTAGAAATTTAGGAGTACTCTATGCTTCGGCTTAGTGATTGTTTAGGACTTGTTTGGCTTGGACTTATTTGGTTAGGCCTTTGTTTTAAAATTGTGGTTTACATATTGGGCTTGTTTGGATTGGTTAAATTTGGAGGGGGACTAATACTACTACTAATTTTTTTCTTTTTTAAAATATTGGGCTAAATATACCTATACTAAATTTGTTTTTTTGGGAGCGGGCGGGCGGGCGGGGCCCCCACAGAGGATCCGTCAAGTGATCAAAAGAGTAGTGAAAGAATTTTATAATTCTCTTCTACTATAATTTTTTATTTTATTTTTAATAAGGGACGTGTTTATTTCAGTTTTCTAAAAATAATTTTATGCTTTCTAAGAACTTTAAAAAAAAAATAGAAAACAAAAAAGTACAAACATTTGTTTAATTGGTTGACGATTTATGAGAATTATTTTATAAAAACTCAATTAAAAACAATTATGACAAACTAAACACACCTTAAATCCTAAATCTGTATGATATAAGAGTTTGGAAATTGCAGTTCACAATCACTTTAGTAGAGACTATGGCCCCTTACAATGTAGTTTGTGGGTGCTTTTCTTTTAATTTCTAGAAAACAAAAAAGTACAAACATTTGTTTAATTGGTTGACGATTTATGAGAATTATTTTATAAAAACTCAATTAAAAACAATTATGACAAACTAAACACACCTTGAATCCTAAATCTGTATGATAAGAGTTTGGAAATTGCAGTTCACAATCACTTTAGTAGAGACTATGGCCCCTTACAATGTATTTTGTGGGTGCTTTTCTTTTAATTTCTCTTGTATTCTGATAGTGACAAAAAGGAAATAAAAATATAGATTAGAAAAAAAAAGGAAAGCCAAAGAAAAATAAGAAAATTGTCTGGGGTTAATTATTAATGTTCATGGGGTTGATCGCCTAGGGCAAATGCCTCAATAGTCTAGTGGTTAGTGCCTTCGGTGAATTTTGAGAGTGTCAGGTTTTGACTTTTTGCACTTACAAATCTAATCTCTAACCCTTCTTATCTTATTAAAAAAAAAAAAAAAAAAAAGAAGAAGAAGAAGAAGAAGAAGAAGAGGTTGTTCGCCTATGGCCTTTAATTTCTCTCGAGCAGTGGAACAATAATTGAAGACACGCCGACGGAGACTTTCAATTTTTGACAGAGGAAGATGAAGAGGGAACCAAATCCGTGATGAGTTTGGCAGTTGAGGTTGATATGATATGAAATGGCATATTTTTAAACTGATTTTATGTGAAGATAGAGCAAGGGATGGGAGAGGGCGCTCATTAAAAGAGAGGGTGACGGGAAACAGAGTGGGTGAGATATTACATCTATAAGATTGCATCTTATCTTTATTTGTTTCACCATTTTATTTTACATAAAGAATTATATGTGTCTATTTAATAATTTATATATATAGTTTTAAGTGGAATTTGAGCTGTTGGCATTTATACTTTTCAAAACGAAATAAGGTGGGCCTAATTTGTATAAGTTATATTTATTAATATGTATAATAAATTGAGTAAAAGTTAAACTTTTTTATATAAATAAAAAATAACAATATATTATTATTTTATTATCGTATTTTTACTTGTGCCACTTGTTCTTGTTTGTGCTTCAAAGGTACTAGGCCTTTTAACTTTTTAATTTTAATTTTTATTTTAACGAATCATTTTGTTACGGTATACTTTTTGTCAAACAAGTTTTCTTATTTTTGTCACTAAAAGTGTCGCAACAAATTACTTAAATGGTTGCCATACCAGCCAAAAGAAGTCCGTCACACTCGAAAGGATGTTATTACCAATAATGTGTCCAAGTAGACAAAAGCAAGCGATGATTAGCAATGAATGGTGTTGTGATGGCCTATAAAAGCACCCTCACCAGCCCAATTTTGGGCAAACCCACACACACACACACACACATGCACACACACTATTTGAACATCTTTACTTCCTCATACACAAAATAGTAATAGATGTGGTCAGTAATAGGATTGGGTATTGTAACATTGTTCATTATATTTATAACTCACTGGTTTTACAAGTGGAACAATCCCAAATGCAATGGAGTTCTGCCTCCAGGTTTCATGGGCTTCCCTCTCGTTGGAGAGACACTTCAGTTTATAATGCCCAGTCGCTCTATAGACATTCATCCATTCATCAAAACCAGAATTCAAAGGTAATATATTCTTATAATCTCTTGCATGCAAGAAAGTTATCCACACCAAATAGGGTGACAGTTGAATTTTTTTTTTTTAATATATATATATATATAATTCAATGTGCTTAGCGTGGAGAAAGTTTTTTGTTTGCGTGCAAGAGATCATTTCTGATTTATTTATATATATAATGTATCATACTTCTTTTTTAGATTTCTATTGGTCATTTGCTTATGAACTATCTAAGATGTACTTAATTGTTCATTAATATCTTCAAGTCTCTTTAGAAAACGCAAATCACTTTTCCTAACCTCGAATGTACTCCTTTTTCTTTTGAACTTTGTAAGGCTGACCAAGAAAATTGCAGAATTAAAATTTTGGTTCATGGAAGATCCATAGTCAAAACAACTTGAGATTTTAATTAGGGTTTTCTTTTCTTTCTTTTTTTATTTTTTAGTTTTTGATCGACAAACATTTCCTTGTTAGATTTCATAATGTCATATGCCGCAAACATTTTAACAAACAAAACACTCTGATTCTTTACATACAGACAATGTACCTTCCAATTTCAGGCTGCACTAGCATTTTCTCAGTACACAATATCAGGTGTTTCCCAGATATATTCATATATAAGATTTTTATGAAGGTGAGATTTCAGATTTAAGATTTTTTTTCATGGTCACGACTCACATTAATTGGTGTGGCCAATTTTCATTCATACTAAAAGAAAAAAATATATATTAACAAGATAAATGGTCAATGAATTGATTAACGAACTTTAGTCGTCAGACTTCACTAGATCGACCAGCTATCACAAAATCACATTTTTTTTTTTGGTAAGGTGTGAAAAAGTTTTATGTTTTTTAATCATATGTTTTTCTTTGTTATAATCTCAGTTCACCTTTTTTTTTTTTTTCAACTTCCTCAGCTTATTGTGTGGAAGAAAGAATCTGATCGAATACCTAAGCATGCATGTTCATTTGTTGAGATTAAGGTGGTAAAAGCTTGGAGAAATATATGACAAGTTCCTAAATTACCAGTAGATTATCGATACTGAACAATGAACTAATCCATTGTCTAGTAGAAGCAGACCCAAAATATAGTAAAATTGTTTGCTTGAATGTACATACTATCAGTACAAAAAGTTGTGAAGAAAGGCTTTAGTAATTCACAGAGCATCGAATTGTTGGGAGTTTCTCTATGATAAATTATAGCAGTAATTTGAGTCATTAATGGATTTATTGCAGATATGGTGCAGTGTTTCGTACCAGTTTGGTAGGGCGGCCTCTGGTTGTATCAGCTGATCCCGAGTTCAACAGCTTCATCTTCCAACAAGAAGGAAATGCTGTTGAAATGTGGTACTTGGACAGCTTCTCTCAGATTTTTGATCTCGATGGTGAAAGTAGGTTCAACTCAGTAGGTTGCATTCACAAGTACGTAAGAAGCAAAGTGTTGAATCAGTTTGGTCCTGAGAGCCTCAAGGAAACGTTGCTTCCTCAACTAGAAAAAATGGTTCACAAAACTCTAAGCATTTGGCCAAGCCAAGCATCCATTGAAGTGAAACAAGCCACTGCAACCGTAAATTTCAAGACCTATGCATGAACATATATTTATATATATAGCTTGCTAACTCATATTTTGTTTATAACAAAACATTGTTTTGGCAATACAGATGGTTTTCGATTTTACTGCAAAACAGATGTTTGGTCATGATTACGAAAAATCGTTGGAGCAGATAAGTGATACTTTCGCCAATTTCTTACAAGGTCTAATCTCCTTTCCTCTGAACATCCCCGGTACTACATTCCACAAGTGTATGAAGGTAGAACAATCTAACCCTTCTCAACCAAACACACACACACAAACACACATATTTGTTCTAAATGGTTGAGCTTGATTTTGATTCAGGACAAAAAGAAGATACTGTATATGATAAACAATATGCTAAAGGATAAACTCACTTCCACTGCTGAGACATGCCAAGGGGACTTTCTTGATCAAGCCATCAAAGACTTGAGTTCCGAAAAGTTTTTGACAGAGGATTTTATAGTTCTGTTAAGCTTTGGAACTTTATTTGCCAGCGTTGAGTCATTATCAACAACACTTACTCTAGCTTTCAAGCTACTTTCAGAAAACCCTTCAGTTGTAGATGAGCTGAGAGTATGAACACCTGCAATTCACTTCATTTTGAACTTCTTGTATTCGGATGTATTTAATTTTCACCCTTGTTTATGAATACTCTTGATGGGTTTTTTCAGGCTGAGCATGAAACAATCATTAAAAACAGAGATATTTCGGATTCCGCACTGACATGGGACGAATACAAATCAATGACTTTTACTCTTCAAGTCAGTTCTACAATCTCAATATATATATATATATATATATATGTTCTCTATTTTTATTCAAAAGGTCATTGTCTTCTCTTCCTAACTTCATGATATGTGGAGATTGCAGGTTATCGACGAAATTAATAGACTTGCAAATGTTATTCCAGGGTTTTTAAGAAGAACATTGAAAGATATCCAAGTAAATGGTATATATATAAACTTATAATAATAAATTCAGTTCAATATCTTTACTTTGTAATTCCAAGAAATATATGTCATTTTATATAACAAAAAATGAGTATGGATGATTTTAAGCATTAGATAACTGCTTGCCAGGTTATACAATTCCGGCAGGTTGGATGATTATGGTTATCACTTCTGCTCTTCATCTAGATCCTAACACATTTAAGGATCCACTTGCATTTAATCCGTGGCGTTGGAAGGTGCATATATAATCTAATCTGAAGCTTAATTGGTTCATATTTAGATATTGTTAACAGATGTTTGCTGGCATTTGATACCCATCCATATCTTCTTCTTTTTCCTTTTTGGATTCTGTATGAAAATAGGGGATGGACTCAATTGTTATATCTAAGAATTTTATGCCTTTTGGAGGAGGACTGAGACAATGTGCAGGTGCAGCGTACGCTAAAGTGTTCATGGCCACATTTCTCCATGTTTTAGTTACCAAATATAGGTAAAGTTTGTTTTTAGTTTATATATATATATATAATTTTTTACGCCCAAGTTTGTTCGCGGAAGAATAATCTTTTTAAAAGTGGAATTTTTAAATAGGTGGACCAAAATCAAGGGAGGAGACGTTGTTCGGGCTCCTATTTTAGGGTTTGGAGATGGCATTCAAATAAAGGTTTGGGAAAAAGCCTGATTAAGATGTTTCTATTTGGCATAATGTGATGCGTCACTTGTTAATCTATAGAATTTTGTGGATTTTTTTTTTTTTTTTTTTTTTTTTGGTGGAAAAAAAAAAAAGTTGCCTGTGTAAAACTGTTCACCTCAATCTTTGAGAGCAATGTGAACTAGTTGGTGTTAGTGAGGTACACAAAATGTAATGAACATTTATGGAATACGTTTGGTCACTTATTTATTTTTTAATTAGGGTCAAGTGCAAAAAAAAAATCCTATAGCATGTTTATGAAGCATGTTTATGATGCATATCACACCCTTCAGGTGCAGAAAACACCCCTTATAGTTTTCAGTTTGTACAAATAAGTCCATCTTGACATATTTAAATTATACTTGACTAAATTGCTCTCACTGACTAATTTTGTAAAATATATAAAAATATATTACTTTGTGAAATGACCGAATAGGATAAAAATATCAACCTTTGTTTTCAAGACCCAAGCAACCCAAACCCTAACCCATGGAATCAACAACTCAAGGTTTCCATAATTATTCTTCTTCTTCTTCATCATCGTCCTCTGTCTCTAAGGCTTCGTTTGGATACACAGGAGAGAAAAGAAAGGAAATGATTATAAGAGAAAAGAAAAGAAATGAAATGAAATAAAAGCTATAATTTATATTCATATTTTGATAGATAGGAGAGAAAATAAATAAATGGATAATATTCTTGTTTGGATAACACAAAGGAGAGAAAAGAAAGGAAAATAAAAATTAAAATTACTATTTTACCCTTTTTGTGGGGTTAGTAGGGCAAATCATTTCAGCCACCCCAAATGCCTCCATCTCTGTTCTCGTTACTCACTCTCTCTCTCTGCAACTGCTAACTCGTATGTAATGGGTTTTGTTTTAAATTTTTTTTTTTTCTTTCTAAATCAACTAACCAAGTCTGTAATTTATAAGCCCATGGTCCATGGATGATGGCCACCAGAAAATATATATATATATATATATATATATATATGGCAAATCATTTCAGCCTCCCCAATGCCTCCATCTCTATTCCCCCCCCCCCCCCCCCCCCCCTCTTTCTCTCTGCAATTGCTAACTTGTAAGCTGTATGTAATGGGTTGTTTTAATTTTTTTTTTCTTTCTAAATCAACTAACCATGGCCACCAGAAAATATATATATATATATATATATATATATATATATATATATAGGGCAAATCATTTCATCCTCCCCAATCGCCTCCATCTCTATTCTCGTTCTCAACTCTGAACCTACCCTCTCTCTCTCTCTCTGTGCAACTGCAAACTATAAAATCTACAAGAATCAGAAGTTCAAAACCTATATATTTCAATATGTCTATCTGTCAAATTAGCGTATGTATATATATATATATATATATATATATATATATATATATTTGTATCCTTTTGTGTATGTGTGTGTATATATATATATATATTTGTATGTATATATATATATATGGATCTTTTTCCTTGGTTTTTTTTATTCCAGATGGGTATTTTTATTTGTGTTGTTCATAGGTGAGATTTTTTATGAGATTTAGAATTTCATGTTCGCGAATAACATTTTGGGTTGTCTGTGTTTTTTAAGCCCGGTATGTTGGTGAATTTTTTATTCCTGTTGATGGGTTTGTTGAAATCATTTCAGCCTCCATCTATCTTTCGTTCTCAACTCTGAACTTGCCCCCCCTCTCTCTCTCTGCAACTGCAAACTGAAAATATACAAGGCTAATTTTGTCTTTCTCATAAATTATACTGAAATTATTTCCTTTCCCCTCAAATCTTCTCAAAATTGGAAGGATTTGGTTTCACTGTATTGGAGGGATTTGGAGGGATAGGCTATCCCTCCAAATCCTTCCCAATCCTTTCTTTTCTTTTCCATTCCCTCCATCTAAACACACCTATCCCTATCATTCCCTTTCTTTTCTTTCCAAATCCCTCTAAATCCCTCAATCCAAACGAGGCCTAAAGGAATTCTCTCCTCCCTTTCCCTCCACTTCCTCCTCAGCCACAGACAGCGTTGTCAGACAATCGCCACCAAAGCAGCAATCAGAATATCGAGTCGGATCAGCCTATTCCTCTTCTACAACATCGGCAAAGACAACGACCCACCGTCAAGCCCTAGTGAGTCGATTGGGGTAGTGATGGTTTCTGCAGTCGAAGCCTAAGCGGCGGCGTTGACGATGATGAGGAAGGTGATTGAGAGATGACCCTTGCCTTCGTCGATGTTTTCCTGGGTTTGGTTCTCTTCGACTCCGCCAACGTGTTAGCGATATGGGTTTTCGGTTTTGGGGATCAAAACTGTAATTTTGATTATGGGAAGAATAATTACTGATCTGCACCATGAATTATTTCATGGATTTTGGCTCAATTTACAAATTGTTAAAGACATTGTGTTAATTAATTGCAGTAGTTCTTCCAATGACGACGATGATGATAAAATCTTGAACCCTTTTAATTAATGAAGTCTAATTGTTTAAGTATGGAATGTGCAAAGACTAAAGCAACTACTATTATACTGGTGCGCATATATACGGGCAAAGCCATCTCTGCTTACGACTATATTTGAGAAGTTTTGGAGGATCCCTAATCAACCTATAAATGGCAATTCTTCTCTGTTTCAGTGAGTTTGAGTTCCATCGTATTGGCTTTGAATGTCACATGACAAATGAGATATTACATTCAACCATTGGATTATTAACTAAAAACTCCAGTTGTTCGTTTTTAGACAAAGTTCTTCTCAGCTAGTGTGAAACTTAAAGCTCTCTTTGCTTATTTCTTTGAGCCCAGTGTACAGTTACATAGGTAAAGTGCATAAAACACTCATTGGGCATTTTTTGAATAGTAAAAAGGTAAATTGGGCATTATAATATAATTTTATGTCAGATTTACTCTTGAGGGGTGTTTTCGCATTTGAAAAGTGAATTAAAAATACCCCTTCCTCGGGCTTGACCAATTAATAGAAAAAAAAAAGATGAAAGTTTTTTCAGTAGAGAAAAGTTGGTTTCTTAAACTTTTTGATGTATTTTATTACATGTAAATGAAATATCGAATGCAGAAAATAGACAGAAACAGAAATGGAGGTTGGATTCTATAAACTTCAACCAATTTCGTTTCTATGATATAGCGGATTTTACAAGGAACATATCGCGAATATCTATAAAAAAATTTATGCCTGTTTCTTTCTCTTGTTTGAGACAAGTCGTGAATATCATATTCCTTTACAGTGACATAAGTTGGGAAGAAGTTGTTAATAATAGATTACCTAGAGAAATAGGTAAAAGAAATTTCCATCCAAGATTTAATAGTTGGTCAATGGGAAAAGAATAGGGGTGTTTTCTGCACATATTTTTAAATAAGGAGTAAAATGCCACAGAAAGTATACATTAGGTGTGTTTTCTGCACTTCACCCTTTTAAATATGTCGTTTTCTTTAACTTTTTCACAAAAAAATGTTCAACCAAAACCCTAGGCCTAATGTATTTTATTACCTTCTAAAGTTAAAAAAAAAATAAAAATAAAATAAAAAAATAAAAAAAGCATACGAGCAAAACGTTAGCGTGAAAAAAAAAAAAAAAAAAAAAAGAGTAAGTTCAAATTCTCAAATTCTTTTTGTCATTTATAATAGGAGTAACTTATATTTGTTATATTAAAAATACAATTAAATAAATCAAATAGCATGAGCGTAAAAAAGTTAATAAACAAAATTAATTATCAATGCTATAGATATACTATTTTCGTTCAAAATTCCTTATTCCACCACCGCTGCCACTCCAACCATCTACAAGCATCACCACCACGCACTACCTACTGGTTACAACCACCCCCACCGCACACCTCAACCACTTCAATAACCCACCGACGCCGCCACTATACAACAAATGCCACTCACCGGCGAACCACCACCACCATGAACCTCTCTATTTCTCTTCTTACCACTCCAAACTCTCTCTCCGACAAGAGTCAATTGTCATGAACCACCACCATTAAAACCACCACTCTTTCCAGCGAGAAATTCACCTCCACCACAACAGTAATAAGACTCAAAATCAAAATTTATTTATTTTTCTTTCAAAATCCAATAAATAATTGCTTTCCTATTTGATATATATACATAATCACAAGCCAGTGTTTTCCGTTTCGGATCAAACTATGGTCTGTTTGGGTTAAAATAGATTCCTCGAAATCATCCAAAAAAAACTTGGTCAACCCACCCATTTGACGGTCCAGGGCTCCAAAGTTTTCAACAATCTGTTCTCCATCACACATACAAAACACAATTGAACCTCAAATTCGTTCACTTCACAGTGAATCAATCTATCTCATTTACAGGAGCAAAAAGGGTTCACGTCATACCCTTAAGTGGGTCTTTATCCTCCACTCGTTCAGTACCGATCATCCCTCCGATGCAGCCTTCTGCCATACTAATTAACATCTTTCTCACTTAAGTTTCTACACCAATTCCTTTAGGGCTAGTTTGGTGTGGTGGAATAGAATACAAAGAAAGTGGAATGGAAGGGTTTTTATTCCATTCTTGTGTTTGGTGCCTAATTTTAAACTTGGAATCATCATTCTCTACCATTCTTAGAGAATGGTCATTCTATCAAAGTTATTCCACCTTCAAACAAAAGGAATGACCATTATATTCCTTTTTTCAACTCTCTCTCTCACTCCCAACATTTCTCTTTCTAGACCACCCCCATCGGAAACCATGGCGCCCAATTTAAAACCCCATCCGAGTCTCCTCCTCTTCTTTCTTTACATCATCTCTGTCCCCACAATCTCCCCCTCCTTCTATCCCCCAATAGTCTATGAAATTCTCCCCCAATTTGGCCACCCAAGCAACTCTTGCCGGACTCCGTCAAATCCTATTCTATCTCCGACGACGAAAGCTTCATCGTCGAGCTCGGAAAGCCATGCTATATATAGTTCGAGTACTTGGTCTATTACGAGACAAAAGTTACAGGGAAGTTCAAATATGGGTCAATCACGAATTTAGATGGCATTCAGGTCCAACGGTTCTTTTTGTCCCCTCTGTCGGTGACGATCTGGTAAAACAGAAGCATCTTTTTTCTCTATTAGTCAATTCTTCTCTCACAGTTGTTTTTGGTATTTTTGGTGGATTTCATCTGTTAGTCGATTCCTCTATTTTTGGTATTTTTGGTGGATTTCATCTATTTTTGGTAGATTTCATCTGTTTTTGGTGTTTTTGGTATATTTCATCTATTTTTTAAAG